TTCTAAAATTAAACACTAGAGAGTGATGACTTCGGCAGTAGTGCTCTATATTTCACGCACGGTTTTTATATAAGTCGTTGATCCTGACGTCAGTTTTGAGTTTTATGAGATATCATACGTTAATGTTATCAGTGGAATTATTGTCAAAGTTGAGTTGAAATATTTAGAGATACCAAAAACCAGCGTAACAATGTTGTCTCGAATCTGCTTATTTATTGTCTACAGCCGTATACTTAAGAGTAAATTCAGATTCAAGTAGTATTATGATGCGTAAAACCGTATTAAAAATAAAAACCTTCAAGGGGATGCAAAAAAGTTCATTAAAATGTATATTTCTGATATACTGTGACAGAGCTTTGGAATGTGATTAGTCTTAATGACATGTACCATAAATTACTCACATTCTAAACATTCGTCAAAGTTTATTGGGTTTGTAAATTTTAATGAAGGTTCTTGTACTCGCTTGGTAATCTGTTTATATTTCAGATTGTTGATTTTAGTAAAAGGCTGAACAGTTGAATATCTCGGAAATTACATATTCTACCAATTATTATAATTTTCCATTCTCCGGCTTTGGGAACTACAACTCTTAAAATAGAACTTTCGCAACTTTCTGACGAACGAAACGTAACGTTCACAAATTTTAATTAAAAACTAAAAGTTTCGAAACAAATGAATCCGTTATTTTCATTTTAAGAAGAGTAGTATGTTTAATAATTCACGTTTAGCTAGTCTGTATAGAGCAGTACATTATTTTAACTTAAAACAATCTAAAACTCGGTTCCGGCTTTGAGAAAATATATCTACTAGTAGATGTCGAAAATGAAATATTTGTAGATAAATCGTTTCCAGTGTTTATTTTCTCGTTAAACCAAATTATTATTATAGCGAATTTCTTCTGCTTGACGTAGGGTGGCCACTTTGCTTGGTTAAATGGAAAAACGGTTGTATTCTATTCACTCCATTTTGTAAACGTATTGAAATCTAAAATAAAATTCTTGCGATAATCTACAAGAAACAAGTAATTCATTAATTTATTTATGCTACTACAGTGCGTTTATTTTCGATATTATGGAAAAACTAATTTAAGAATTTATTGCTGTGTTTAAATACCAAGACTGGTAATGAAAGGCGCTTACTATACTTTTCGTGGTCTAATACATTCGGGAGCGGCCATTCGGGCGCAGAGACAATAGGGCGCGGGGACGATCGAACCCATGTTGGGCGCCAAAAATGTAACCTATCAAATGTACTTAGCAACTTTTAGATGGTAAACTGCCTTATTTTAAACTACTTTATTTTAAACAGCTGCAAAACTCTAACGGAGTACAACAAGGCTATCAGAAAGGCCAAACGAGAATAGTGGAGAAAGTTCTGTCAGAGTATATCAGATTTACCTGCAAGTACCAGACTTCACAAGATTCTCGCCAATGATCCGAGATCTATACGGACTCAGGCAAGGAAACTTTAGAGATTCTTCTACAGAAACACTTCCCAGGCAGTCGAATCCTGGAGAGGACATGCAACATGTTCCCCTTCCTTTAACGGAATCGATTGTACGACCCAAAAAGGAGGACTGGTACTTTGTTGCACAAATTGTCTCATTCTCCCGCTTCAAATCACTCGGGAGAGGATGGCATTTTTCCTACCCTTTTACAAAAAGGACAGGAACTCCTGCTACCCCTTCTTGTGAGGCTGTTTAGAGCAAGTCTAGCGTGAAGCTAGGATGGACGAGGGCGAAAATCGTGTATATACATACGGCTACCAGCTACCAGAGTAGATATCTCCCTACCAAACTCTTATCGTTCAATCTGCCTAACATTCTTTCTTCTAAAAACACTTGAGAGGATTCTAGATAGGCATATTAGAGAAGAAGCCCTTCGGGCAAGCCCGTTAAACTCCTTCCAATATGCCTACCAACTAGGCAAATCGACAGATCATGCCCTGCACAATCTAGTAGGTAAAATCGGCCATTCCCTAAATCTTGAGGAGATTGCGCTGGGTGCCTTCCTAGATATAGAAGTCGGGTTCAACAACGCCCTTCCTCGGTCTTTGTTCGCTTCTATTGAAAGAAGAGAAATCGACAAACTAACTTGTAATTGGATCAAAAGCATGCTGGGAAACCGGAACATTACTTCATCACTGCAGAAAGAGACTGTCACTTTTAGACCTGCCAGAGGATGTCCACAAGGCGGCGTACTTTTACCCCTACTGTGGATTAGTCTAGTGGATAATCTGCTAAACGATCTCTCCCGGTAGGGGGTAGATTTCCAATGCTATGCGGACGATCTGGTTATCATAATTAGGGGAAAGATCGAAGAGGTGATCTCCAACATCCTTTAACAAGCTCTTAATACGATCAATAGATGGTGCGAGAGGGAGTAGATGTCTGTTAACCCCCCACAACTGTTATTATCCCCTTCACCAAGAGAAGAAAGCTCGACAAGCTTCGACAACCTACCTTGGCTGGGGAAACAATTCCTTCTGCGGAGAAGGTAAAATATCTGAAAATCACCCTAGATAAGAAACTCACCTGGAACCCCCAATTGGATAAAACCATTAACAAAGCCAGATTATCCCTCTGGACCCTTAGAAGAATATGCGGCATAGCATGAGGGATCAGTCCTCAACTGATCTACTGGATTTACCAAACAGTGGTAAAACCCATGGCTACGTACGGCTCTGTCATCTGGTGGGACAAGGGACTTCAACGGATGGCCAGAGCAAAGCTGGCTGGAATACAGCGTCTTGCGTGCCTCGTCATAACTGGAACAATGTCAACTACACCTACGGGAGCCATGGAGATCATGCTGGACCTAACCCCTCTCCACATTCTTCTGGAAAGAGAGGCCAGAATGGTCTCCTACAGACTCTTGAAGGTGGGTAGTCAAAGCTACGAAGAACTGCGATGGGACAAGACGGGGCTGATGAGTGAAATTAATAACCACCTCATTCTCGTCTTGGTCTCAGACTCGCTAGTTCCCCGACGGCACATAGAAAAGCTATACAGCGTCCTCATTCCAGAGAGAGGCGCATGGAGCAGAGGGGAAAAACCCTCTTCCAGGCAGACTATGCGTTGTACACGGACGTCTCCAAAACTGAAAAAGGAGTAGGAGCGGGAGTTTTCGACCAGAAGCCTAGAGTTGACATATCAATAAACCTAGGCTTTCTGGCCACGATATTTCAAGCAGAAATGATTGCTATAGAATTGGGAGCGGAAGAGTTGTTTAATTTTCTCCTTGCAAACAAGACTATAAAGTTTTTAGATAGCCAGGCAGCCCTTAAGGCCGTGAGCTCCAATCAAGTTGACTCAAAGCTGGTTTAGAACTGTATAAATACCCTTAAATGTCTCGGTGCCCGGAACAAAGTTACTTTGATCTAGGTTCTGAAACAGTGGTGTGGAGGGCAACGTAAAAGCCAACGCGCTTGCTAAAAGAGGAACCGAATCTGTGTTCATAGGATCAGAACCATTCCTGGGCATTGCAAAGAGCACTGCCAAAGGAGTTATCTCAAAATGGACAAAGGGTGCTACAATCACAAACTTGAGAGATACCCCAGGGTTAACTCATTCAAAGGCGTTTAACCAACCTTTCCATGAACGCCTCTGTTCAGATCCGAGAATGAAATAGAAAAGATCTACGCATTTTCATTGGACTGATGGACAGGACACTGTCGTCTGGGCAACCACATAAGAAGAATAGGTCTGCAACAAATATCGGACTATCGATTCTGCAACGTAGAGGAAGAGTCTGCAGAGCACATTCTATGTACCTGCTCCAATCTGGAAAGAACCAGGTTTCAGATCTTCGGATTTATGAATGAAAGAGAGCCTCTGTTATTCTATTACCAAAACGTAACAATCCCACTACCCAGTTAGATCTTAGGCCAATTAGCATACTGCCTACTCTATCAAAAGTATTAGAGATGATCTTAAAAGAACAAATGAATAAGTTTATGGAAAAATACATCTTACCGGCTACGCAATCGGGTTTTCGTTCTAGTCACAGCACTACTACTGCACTTCTAGACGTAACTGCCTGGTGCTGCTTGACTACAACAAGGTCTTTGACACACTTGATCATCAACTTTTATTAAAAAAAAACTTTCTTATTTAGAATTTTCTGCACGAGCCGTCAAATTTTTAAAAAGTTATCTTTAAAATCGTACCCAGAAAATTGTCCTGGACGAAGGTGCGTCGAGATCCCTTTCGGTTAAGTATGGTGTTCCACAAGGTTCCATTTTAGGACCGCTACTTTTCTCACTTTACATTTCAGATTTTCATCAATTTGTAGAAAATTGTCATATTCATCATTACGCCGATGATTCGCAACTCTACTTGTCTTTTGACCAATGAAATTCTTTACAAGCTCAATACATCATAAATCTAAATTTAAAAAATTATATAATATATCGTCAGTACATATTTTCAAATTAAACTCAAAAAAATCTGTTTTTATGTTATTTGGGCCCAATAAAGCAAAGGCCGTCGACAAGATTTTTTTGACTAACTAGATATAACCGAGTAGGCGAGGGCTCTTGAAGAATTTGGTATTCACTATCAAGGAAAATGGATAGAAATTAATTATTTAATTGGTTAATTAATTTTACGTAACTAGCATGTTACACCTCATATAGACTAATGAGCACGATATTTAATTAGGGTCCCTTTTTCCGGTTGGAATAACAGAAGATATGGCAAAATTTATAGTTAGAATGTGACATCAGTGGCGGCTTGTGACCAGAATAATGGGGGTTCAGAATGAGAGAATATAGGTATCAGTAAAGATTTATATAAAAAGCTTTCAAGGTTTTGAAAGGTGTATTATAAAAACTGAAAGTTTTTTACCGAAATCTGTACTGAGATCTATATTCTGTCATTGTGAACCTCCAAATTTTTGCTCAGGAGCCGCCACTATGTGACATACTCATTAACTTAGTAGAATAAAATCAGTTTTCCTTTGAATTTATAAACATCAAACTTATATTTCATTTTGTTACAGGGATGGATCTGAACTCGAATACGAAATATACTCTCAAATTGTGACCATAATCCCTCTACCTGATTTTTTCGAAATGTATCCGATCGCCATTGACTTTAAACATCAATTGAACCACAAAATGAACTGGAGCGACGACGAAACATGGAGCGTCAAATGCGGTTATGCTGACTTATCTACTTTCACATACGACTGGAATATATACAGTTGCTATACTGAGGTATTAAACGACCAGAAAACTAGATGCATTTGTCCAAAGCACGGCATTTTCGCCTTATTGTTAACTTTAGCTCCAAAGGTATTTATAATGAAAGAGTATCGGAAATAAGATTGAACAGCCAAAAATCCAACATCAAAATAATAAATAAACAAAATATCAGATTATAGAAAATTGAATATACACATTTTTGAAAAATAAACCAAGAATGCATTATGATATTCATCTATTTGTATTTTCCCAAAGCTAATTTTGACGTATGTTTATTAATATTTTTTTTTTGAAAATTTAACATATGCGTTAATTTTATTTTTACAGAATTACAGTTTATGTTAAAATCGTAAAATTTAACACCCGTTAAAAATAAACGTATTGAATTACAGAATTGCTACTTATTAGTAAGTACTTTAGATTGATGTGGGATTTTATAAATTGGCCAATCTTTTTTTCTTAACTATATTCAGGCAGATAGCTTTATTTTCATAACCATTATTATTTTAGTCTAAAACTGAAGAAGCTGAGTCAAATCTGTACATTCTACTGATTGGATGTACTGTTGGAATGCTTTTTACCTTGATAGCTACAATTTGCTTAGCCATATCGTGTTTTTTAAGACCAAAGTCAAGCATAACATTTTTAAAACTGCAGTGTTCTACGTCAGTTTTTGCTACTGGATTATTTTTCACTTTTGCAATCATGACAGGACCCCCTCAGGTAAGAAAATTGTTTTATGATGTAGTAAAATAAATTTAAACAAAAAGAGTTTTTTCAATTTCAATAATCTTTCTGAAAGGTCGCTATTTATTATAACTTATACTTTTCTACTCGTAAGAATTTTAGTAAGAAAGTAATGCCACTATAGATTGATATTTTATTATTTTGTTCAACTTATAATTTTTATTTTACTTGGCCCCTATATAAATATCACCAACCATTCTGTTTTGGAATGTTTAATGGTACACCATGTGTCTAAGTTAACAATGTATATGTTTCTATAGTAACCGAGTTGTGTATTGTCTAGAATTACAGATATGGATAGAGGAGATAGACAAGTATTAGAAATTAAAAATTAAAAAAACCGACTTCAAAAACGTGCCGATGCCATCACCACAATTTTGCCAAATTTATATGGGACCACCCCTGAGGTACCCCCTTACTTACAAAAAAATAATCATATAAATCGGACAAGGTGGTAAAGCATTATCGCTAAACATACATAAAAAAATGAAGAGTGAGGATTTTCTCATGGACCTAATTATTAGATTTTGACCGAATTTATATGGGACCACCCCTGAAGTACCCCCTTTTTAACAAAAAAAGAATCATTGAAATGAAATATTGTAGTACAATAACAAACTGTATGTAGGTATCTAACGTATATTGTTTTTAGATTGAGTGTGCTTCTTGGTTAATAGCTATTGGAAAATATAAGTGCAAATAAAAATACCTTCCATAAATATGCCTTAAATTTGTTTCTTTTTATAATTTTTATGAAAGTCATAAAAAAATTATCCATATCATTTTTAGAAGTTTACAACCTTCAACTTCAACAAATATTATTAACTCAGAATCTAACGAGGAATAAGAAGTTGCCAGTTGATTATTTTTTTTAATAAGGGTTTAGATGGTAATGAAAGAGCAAATGTGGTATTGGAGGTTTTTCTAAAATTGCATGAATATGGAGAGTTATTCCTCATTATCATTTAATGAACTTAGAGCTAATTTTACAATGATGACAACATTAGGTGTAAACCTATACAACTTGGATATTGAAACAGCAACTCCCATATTTCTTGCATTCGCCATAGATAAAAGTATTTTTTTTATAATTTTAGATGCATATTACATACTTAAGTTGGTTTGGAAAAACTGGGATTTTCTTACTAAAATTGTCGAAACTAATGGCGAAATTATTGATTTTAATTATATAAAATTGTTGCATTATTTTTAACAAACAAAAGGTTTACGTTTGGATAACAAATTAAGAGTGGCCCATATAGATTGGAGAAAGACATAAAGGGGTGTATACTTAAACAATTTTAGAAATTTTATTGAAACTGTTTTAGTTCACTGTAAAATTCCACATTTTAACACAATAAAAAATAAACTATTTAAGTATATAATTTTATTCATTTTAGGTAAATTTAGAAGTACAAATATTAAGTAACAGTGCTATTAAATTGTATAAGAATATTTGACTGTTTGATTTACTAAATTTTCGAAATCGCTTTAGATTACAATGGAAAATGCATTTGTTTTAAAAAACGGAGACTTTATGGATGCCTCAAATAAAATCTGCAATAGAATATATAAAGCAATTTAAAACCTTTTAGACAGAAGTTATATTATTCAGGCAGCGAAGAAAAATACTGGTTTTCTAGACTTTAGTTTATCAAGTTTGTAATAGGTTTATATGAGAAATATATAAAGTGTTTATTAATATATAAACTTAATACAGTATTTTTAATTACAGATAATCAATTACCTGTTAAAATAATGTCCTTTCTCAATTAATTTAAAATAAAAATTTGTTTCAAGAAATCAATAATCATAATTATGAGTATCTAACGTTGGAGGAAAATCACATATCAAGATTAATAAAAACCTTAACAAAGATAATATTGTTCAAACACCAATGTATATTTAAAAAATTTAAATTTGTATTTTTTGTCCTTTATTAACTTTTATTAAATAGCTTTTTTTAATTATAATTTATTAGTGCTATTTTCTAATGTAATATAAATGTTTTAAGTTTACTAACAGGATGTTAACATATATTTACTGTAATATTATAATTACACAAGGTGTTTCAAAACAAATATATTTTTAAAACATATCGAGACGGTTCTGTGCTCGATACGCAGGTGTTCATTGTGGGCATCTGTAAATAAACGTCTATGTGACAATTACCAACGTCTAAGTGACAGTAATCGCATTCACTGAGTTGCATCAGCGTGAAACCTCTCAAGGCAAACGAGTTTCTGGCACGTAGACATGTATATCTTTCTTTGAACGCTACAAAATATCAGATCGGTTTGTACTTCGATAGAAGTCAGACGAGTTTCACTAGAAACACGATGACAGTTTTTCTTTTATATTTTACATAGTTTTCTGAGCAAAGATAATCAAATAATAATGAATAACAAAATGTAAACCCTAGGGCAGTGTTAAGTCTCTAGGTATTTTTAAATAAAAGTGTAGTGTATATATGTAAAATTTAATTTCATTATCTTGAAAATAATTGCAGCTAGCACCGAAAGGAGAGTCCACTTGATAAGCAAGCCTTAGGGCCCTGTTCATAATTTGTGTTTTATTAATCACAAATCCGACATAAGGTAAAAAAGTAAAACCTTCGCACTTGGAAAAATCGAAGTTTTGTTACTATTTATTATCTCACAACCTCCGTTCATGTAAACGGGAGATTTTACCGCCTCTGCAAATTCCTTTAGTTACTGAAATCGAGAATGTCTATTCCTTGCTGATGAGTCCTAAAAAGGACAGAATTTGTCCAAGAATAACGTTTTCTTTTGTAAGCAAGATTAAAGTTTGAATAATCAAATATAAATTTTTTATCTTTGTTGTTTTTCTTTGGATATAATTTAATGTCTGTTGCGGAATTAGAAAGAGAAGCAGTTGTTTTTCGAAGGGAAACTGTCTCTATTTTTATTTTGTATCACATGGCATATATAATTTCTTCTTTTCATTTATTTTACGTTTTGGTTACATTTAAAATTGGATTTATTTTTCTTTTTTAATAAAATATTTGACAAGATGTTTCTGTAATAGTTTTAAATTTACTAAAGAATATGCCTATATTCTCTAAATTATTTTTATTCATGATTCTTAATATACCCTCAAGTGCATGCCATAGTACTGTGGAAAGATATTTCAAATACATTTGAATTCCTTAGTTCGTATTTTTATATGAAATAAAACACTTTCAAGATCTGCGAAATCAATATTCCCATGTAATAATTTACATACAATAAATATAAAGTTCTGTTTAAATCACGTGATTCCAGATTTATTTGCTTTAAATTTTAATATAGCTTTGGATTGTTGTATTCACTTCATATGAACTGGTATTTTAAATATCTTTTATGATTTTATTTTATTTTAAATTAAGTTTCATACAAGACTAAGATGTTTTTTATTTTTAGCAATCTCTTAAAATCCACAAAAAAGAAAATTAAAATTTTAACCGCGTGCCTCCAAAATATCGTCAACCGGATTAAGTACACCGACGAATTAAAGCCGACCCTCGCAGATGGCAGCACCAAAATTCTTTCCAGTTTAGCTGACGAATACGTAACCAGAGGAGAGTAGTACAGATCTCGTGCATTTTTTAGTTCCAAATTTATAGTTCTAAATAGTTCTAAATAGTTCTAAATAGTTCTAAATAGTTCTAAATAGTTCTAAATAGTTCTAAATAGTTCTAAATAGTTCTAAATAGTTCTAAATAGTTCTAAATAGTTCTAAATAGTTCTAAATAGTTCTAAATAGTTCTAAATAGTTCTAAATAGTTCTAAATAGTTCTAAATAGTTCTAAATAGTTCTAAATAGTTCTAAATAGTTCTAAATAGTTCTAAATAGTTCTAAATAGTTCTAAATAGTTCTAAATAGTTCTAAATAGTTCTAAATAGTTCTAAATAGTTCTAAATAGTTCTAAATAGTTCTAAATAGTTCTAAATAGTTCTAAATAGTTCTAAATAGTTCTAAATAGTTCTAAATAGTTCTAAATAGTTCTAAATAGTTCTAAATAGTTCTAAATAGTTCTAAATAGTTCTAAATAGTTCTAAATAGTTTTAAGTAGTTCTAAATTGTTTAGTTTTAAGTAGTTCTAAATTAATTTTGTAATATTTTATATTTAAACTAGTTGTATTATTATATATTTTGTTTAATAAAATTCTATTACGAATTTTTATTATTATTGGTTCTATTGTGTAATTAAATTCTTAATATTTTCAAATATTGTTTAAACGTGTTTGTCCTATCCTGACCAATTAATATGCAAGCGCGTGGGTCGCTTTTCACAAGATCACCGCCTTCCATTCTATGTACCTGATAAAAATGACATTTCCTATCTCCTGTAATCCATATCTGTAGCTAGAACAAATGAATTACATAATTTAGCAGATTTTCAAACATTTTACCGATTTAAAAAATATATGCTGTAGTTTATATACCCGGAAATTACCTACTTTTACAAGACTCATACTTTGTCCTGTAAAATTAAACTTTTCGGTCTAGTAACATAAATAACTCTTTTGTTTTAGGCATATTTTTTACTCTTTCTTACATGCATCGAAACAAGCATATTATTGGGATTTTCAAGTCATCTAAGCAAATTATTAATGATATTTACAGAATTGATTGAAATACCAAAATCCATGATGTCGAAATTTACTGTAGTTGGAATTATTTCAGGTGAGTATCGCATCTTCTGAGCTAATAGCGCAATGTAATACTTGTCACCTTCATCGTATCCGATTTTTTCCACAGTTAATATCAAACAGAATGTGTAGCAGTGCAGATGGAATTCATATTTGTATTTAGTAAATATGAGGCTAGATAATTATAAGATCAAACGAACTTACCTTAAGTGAAGTTCGATCTTGATTATATATTTCGCTCCCTTCGAAGATAATAAGTAAACGTAGTACTCATTTATGAGCTAGTTGTGCCCCATAGTCCAAAGCCAAAACTTATAACCTCACTTTCTATGTAGTTCCCTCATTTTCCGGGCGTGGCTCACTTTTTTTAAAGCTCTGACGCAACTGCGATGATCTGGGATTCAGAGGGTTGGGTTGGGAGAGATCATTTTCGAAGGGGGTGCAGTGTATAATCAAGATCGAACTTTACTTAAGGTAAGTTCGTTTGATCTTATAATTATACACTGCGCTCACTTCTTCAGATAATAAGTAAACGTAGATTTTTAAAGACAGTTGCGACTACAAGAAACGAGGCAATTTTCAATAAACTTATATGAAAATGTTTACAAGTGTAACAAAAACAAACGAAAAATCCGCAATAAACTAAATTAGAATGGTCTCTGCAAAAGAGGTGTGATCCTGCCTTATAGGCCGGTTATAACACGGCAAAAGATTCACTTATCCAGCTTGCTGTGAACCTTATATATAAGTTCAATCCCAACGACATAAGGTCTTGGAGACTGTTATCAATTTTTTTTACCTGATGATTTGACCCTATCAGTTCTACAAATAATATATTCTAATTCAATAAGACTAAAGGTTTGCATTCTATGTGCAGTAAATAATGCTAATAATATCACTATTTTTTCTGATAATTCTATAACAGGGATTTATTTATTGAAATACCAATCCCTAAAGATATTCAGTACTGTCAATGGACTCCAAGTTAAGTCATACCTTGGATCCTAAAGTCCGGAGCAATGTCCAGTGACACAATTAATGAAACTGCTGATCTATAGTTATTATATGACCCGTATACGTTAAACCCTCTTGGAACCGTTCTTGCAGAAATTTAAGATCTTACACCTATGAAGGAGTCTGTTCTCTATTTCATACAAAAACCTCTACCAAATTTTCAACTCCACCATATATTCTTTTAAGGTAGAGTTAAAGTAGATGACAACAATAGTATTGAAGTCCGGACAGATCCAACAGATACTTAAAGTAGGGTACCAGGGTCGAATTTAATTAGTTCTGAACTCAAAACCCTCGTAAACAGGTGTCACCAAGGTTTGGTAGCTCAAAAAGGGTACTACTACCACGCCTTGGGCAAGTTCATTTATGTAAAAAGAGTAAAACTTGAAATTATTTATAATTTTCTGAATTACTGAAAGAAAACAGGCAGAAAACCATAAAAGTTATAATCTGACCAATCTGAGATAAATGTACCAATGGAGGGATAAGGATATTTCTTTCATGAGACATACCCCATGCTCTTATGTAAAATTAGTTCCCACCATTGCCAAACATTTTAATGATATTTTCCTTTAGCAATGTCCCTTTAGTTTCATTCTTTTTTTGTTCAAGTCTTAAAAGAAAACTCAAAGTAGAACCACAAAATGCAAATAATTACAATTCACAAATGGTTGGATGCAAGTAACTGAACACATCAAACTCTCCCAATGTTACGTGAACAATATTCTTAGCCTTCATATAAAAGGTTTCTGTATATTTGACAACACTATCAAAAAAACCAGTATCTTCTTTACCTTAGTGATTTTAGCATGTCCTCACTAAATCCGGGACACCCACCGGGTCTTATAGTCTCACTGTATTTAATCCGCACTAGATTTGTTATTAACCCACACAAAAAGTATGTCCAATTTACCAGCATATGCAATATAAATTTTTTCTAGATGTTTGCCAACACTATCTTTTTGTCTTAGTAATTTAACAGGTCCATACTGAACCTGGAACCCGCATTGGGTCCTAGACTGCACTGAATTTATTGAATGATATAAACTCGAACTGGGTTCTATAAATGTTATGGCCTACCTGGAGTCCCATGTAATGTAATTGGAAAGAAAAAAGTATGTCCAGTTTACCATCGTCCGCCATATAAAAAACGACTCTCACTGAGTTATGGCACTACTTACCTGGAATTCCATGTAAAGTAATGAGATTTGAAAGAAAAAAATCAGTTTTCCTACATTTTCCAGATGTTTGACAATGCTATTGAAAAATTAGTTTTAACAGGTCCACACTTAACCTGGAATTTGCACTGGGTCTTAGACTCGCACTGAGTCTTTTTAGTCAGCTCTTGATTTGTTATAAACCCACAGTGGGTTTTAGATAAAACTCACACTGAGTTATGACACTATCTGGAATCGCGTGTAAAGTAATGTGAACTGAAAGAAAATGTAATTAGGTCCAGTTTACCATCATCCTCCACATAAAATTTTGCTAGTTATTTGATGCTATCAAAAAAACCAGTTTCTTCTTTTCCTTTATGATTTAACAGGTCCGCACTGAACCTGGGACCCGCACTGGGTCCTAGACTCGCACTGAGTCTATCTATTCCGCACTGGATTAATTATAAACCCGCACTGGGTTTTAAATAAAACTCTCACTGAGTTATGGCATTATCTGGAATCACATGTAAAGAAAAAGTATGTCCAGTTTACCATTGTCCGTCTCCAATTTCTTTTGTAACCTAAAACAATTCATTTATTTTTAACCTATCTGCATTCTTTTGTTAATAAATAAATACTTTTTCTGGTTCTTCTGCCAGAGAACTAAAACTGGACGAACTGCATTTTCTTTGCCTAAATATTCTGCTATTTACGTTGGTGATTTTCTTCATTAGAGTCGCTCCCGCTGTTTAAGATTTCTTGTTTTCTGTTTGTTGTTTCTTGAGTGTTTTTACCTTCTTATTTTGAGTCGTTGTCCGACGTTTCTGTTAATGAATAATAATAGTTTCCTATATTTTATTAAAATTTAAAACATTTTCGATTTTACGAGTGTACACAACTTGGCACCAAAATGAAAAGTGAGCCACGCCCGGAAAATTAGGGAACTACATAGAAAAAGAGGTTATAAGTTTTGGCTTTGGACTATGGTGCACAACTAGCTTATAAATGAGTACTACGTTTACTTATCATCTGAAAAATATATAATATAAAATAATGAAAATCTCTCATGATAATAAATAATTTTATAGTAACATGTAACGTAGGTGTACATTGCTAGGTTCATTCAAGGTGACCTTAACCCTTTACCTGCTGCTAGAAAATAAAAATGTCAGCACAATATTTGAAAACACTCTGTAGAAAAAATGTACCCTTTGGCCTTCCTTCTAAAATCATCAATCGAATCTAAGTCTTTAGGAAACATTAACTCTTGTATTATATTAGCTTCAACTTTTAAGTGCTTTTATCACAGTGCGAGCCTTGAGAAATTTGTCTTTCTAACAAGGATAATTTACCGACTCTTCTCGGCTAAGCTCATTAAAAATAATAGGAATTCCTTCTCTGTTAGTTTGTATTTCACTTCCAAATAGATAATTATTTAAAGTGGAACTAATTTCCGTTTTACAGGGGTTCCAGTGATTACTGTGTTCGCTAGTCATTTATCCTACAAAACGATGGACGTTAAATTGGAGTCTTGGTGGATTCTAAAAGGGACTTTATCCTTTAATATATTCATTTGTGTCACTTCCATAATGGCGGTCCTGTTTGTCTTCGTTTACACCACCGTAATCAAGAAGCTGAACAATCTTATCAAAATGAACGAAAAGTATGCTAAGCCGTTAAATAGAAGGTAAGATTTTTTTATTCATCTGTTTTGTTAAAAGAAAGATAAAGATAAACTAAATTTATCAGATTTAGGACCAGTCTTCTCACCTTTGAGTAAAGTTGCAAGTAACTACATGCTGATTAAACTATAGGGCTATTGTTTGTTAATCTGTCAAATAAACCTACATGTAACTTTACTCAGGGGTGAAAAGATCGACCCTTATAAAGTAGATAATAGAGCCATTTTCTCTCAGCTTTAGTAACGAAATTAAAAACGTCACACAGCTTCTTACAAATATTTTTTATAACCATTGCTTGAGTCGACATATTCAACATTTTTGGGAATGGCAGAAAATGTTCAAAGGAAAACTAGGCAACCCGAAAGGATTACCGATATATTACTTCTCTCTCTATCTTATGTTGGTCAAAGGAAAGCCCACACAATTTTTAAATGGTTTTTAGTTTTTTTTTATAATTATTTGGTAATGAATGTGATTCTTTTTAAATAGTTTTAAAGTAAAAAGGCTAAACATTAGTATACATGATTATTATACATTTTGTTTTTACCGTTTCAAGTAGTATACAATTCCATGTCACTTTTACTCTTTAGCAAAACCAGGTCTCATCTCTTTGGATTCACCTGGCTAGAGCCCACTAGTTTAGAGAAGAAAGAAGTGAATTACTTTAATTTACAGAACGTAGTACAGGTTTAAGTGGTAGATATTTTATTTATACCTCATCTTTCAATGCTTATTTGTAGTTAAAATTAAAATTTTAATACATCAAATCGGCCTAATAAAAGTTTTCGTTTAGATTTATTCATGTTTTTGTGCATTTTACTATAATTTAATAATACATTTTCTTTTGACAAATAAGTCAGACTTTATTTATTCACAGCCGTATCGTATGCATATTAATTGAATTGAATTGAATTGAATTGAATTTTCTATTAGTATACATTATAATTTTACAGTTATATAAGAACAACGACTACGTTTTTTTACCTAGGAAAATACTTAAGTGTCTATAATTTTTAATAATCATCAAAAATTTATAAATTTTAAACTTTATTGCCTCGACTATTGAAATTTTTATCTGATTATATATTAATTATATCCTACAGTTTAGATTAGTGGGTGTTCCACTATAAACTGTTTTTTCTTTTTTTTTATATATGGGTGATTCTCGGATAACTGTGATTTTTTATGTCCAGTGTTTTATTTATCGTTTAGCATAAGTTTTCTTCATCAAAAAGTTATTAATATTATAAATTTGGAGGTATTTTACAACAGACATTATGAATTAGATCAGAAACCTTCGTAATTTTTTTTAAGCTGCATATAAATATAGGTACTCGAAATGTCAGTACACATTATAAAATATTTTGTTAAAGAAAATATGGATGAATATATTAATCATTTTGATCTTAATTTAATAGGTACCACAATAATCCAAAATGCTAGTGACAGTAAAATCTATATTAAACACGAGGAAATGGCAAATTTAAAAATAATAACTAGCAACATTAGAAGTTTATATAAAAATTTTAATGAATTTAGTATACAAAAATGATGGAACAGTTGTACTCATCAAAGAAACTCTCAAATACTCCTACAAAATTGTCAAAATAGGGTTAATTAATTCCATAGAACTTAAAATGATAGTAAATGGCGGTACTTTTCTAATTACATGCCTATATAGACCTCCTTCAACTAGTATTGTTGATTTTAATTTGAGGTTAATGATTTATCTGAAGAATCTAAAAAAAAATAATTTGATTTTTATATAATTTCGGATGATATCACATCAACCTTTTCAGCGAAGAAGTTGAAGTCATTGAGTACACAAATCATATATTTATATTAGATAATACCAAAAACGACAATAAGTATATTCCTCTTGTATTAGAAACATCGATTACAGACCATTTTACAACTCTGGCACAAATTATTATCTGTGAAAAAGTAAAATTAATATTAAACACAAACGATATTACTAAAAAATACATAAACTATAACTTACTACAAACTAATTTAAGTCAGGAAACCTGGAACTCAGTCATATTTAAAGACAAAGTCTGTATTTCCACTGAAACATTTATTATTATTATAAAAACCAACATAAGAAAATGTGAATATATAAAAACAAAAACAATGAAAGAAAACGATCGCCGTGGATCACAAATGCCTTAGTTCAATCGTTAAAAATAAAAGATAAACTTTATAAAAAAAAATTAAAAAACAATACTATAGACAACATAAATGAATATAGACGGTATAGAAACCATTTAAGGGATTTAATTAGAATTGCTAAAACAAATTATTATAAAAATTTGATAGAAAAAAGTGATCGTAACCCTTCAAAGCTGTGGAAAACAATCACAAGCAGTGTTGCCAGGATATAATTTTGTAATGTACCAGATTTGTCTAAAAAATGTACCAGATACTATAAAAATGTATCAGATTTTTTGAATTGTGTTGGTTTGGTTCATTGAAGAGCAAAAAAAGCCTTTATCGAGAACGCACACAAACAAAGAAGACCTCAACAATGACAACAATATATTTTACACGTCAAATAGAAACTTATGGTGAGATTACAGAACGTCTACAACTTTGCAGATCTGCAAATATGGCGACTACTTTGCAGATCTGCAAATATAACGGACTTAGGGGTCTATTCTGTAACAATTGCTTTATATTTAACGGCCTTTAAAAATATTTTCTTCTTTACTTCTGTCATTATTTAAACGGATCTTCAAAATACATTAGAGGACTATCTTAAAGAAATCTGTTTAAATAATGACAGAAGTAAATTAACGAATACAAACATATTTTTAAAGGTCGCCAATATTTTTAAAGGCCGTTAAATATAAAGGAATTGTTACAGAATAGACCCCTTACAGTATTCCACCCTTGAGAAGGTTAGAACATCCTACAACCATGAAGTCTTCTGTTTTTTTGATTGAATACAGTTCGTGGTGTCAGATTATCGAGTTTTTAAACATATGCCGCGTTTGAGAATCCACATCGGATGCATCTGAGATGTAGTAAATCTTTGATCACGTGATTCAGTATACGTAAATGGAATGGGACAGATGTGTGATGTGGATAAAAAACGCTCGAGATGTAAAAAATGCATCCGATGTGGATTCTCAAACGCGGCAATAGTAATGGATTTGGGTTCAGTGTTGTTGAGGGTAATAAACCACAATAAATATTGCGAATTTGCAGATCTTTTTTGGAATACGAAAACTTGATACTTACATATGTAAGTCCGCCATATTTGCATATCTTCAAAGTTGCCGCCATATTTGCAGATCTGCCAAATTTGCAGGGGTGAGATTACAGAACGTCTGCAACTTTGCAGATCTGCAAATATGGCGGACTTACAAATGCAAGTATTCCAAAAAATATCTGCAAATTCGCAATATTTATTGTGGTTTATTACCCCCAACAACACTAAACCCAAATTTGGAATACGAAAACTTGATACTTGCAAGTGTAAGTCAGTCATATTTGCAGATTTTCAAAGTTGCCGCCATATTTGCAGATCTGCAAAGTTGCAGACGTTCTGTAATAGGTCTTTTCCTTTGCATCGACAGTGTAGCACTGAGCTACGTCACTTCTGAAAATATTGTTCCATCCATACAATTTGTATAAATTTCGATGCAAAGGAAAAGACCTAATATCACCCATATGCAGAAAATAGAAAAGTACTAGATTTTGCTACGAGTGTGCCATATTCTTAGATAATGTACTAGATCTAGTATAATTGTACTAGACTGGCAACACTGATCACAAGTCACAAATCTAACAACATTAACGAAATCACTCTTGACAGTGGTGAAAAATTTTTTGATAAAGAGCTAATGGCGAATGAATTTTGTACATTCTTTTCTAACATTGACGGTAATTTAGCAAGAAAAATAAAACCCACTAATAAAAAATTTAATAAAAATACAATTCCAAATTATTTTTTTCTACCCGATACAAATGAGAAAGAAATTTTAGAAACTTTTAGTTCCCTTAAAAATAACAGAGCTCCAGGCATTGATGATAACCGCGCTGAAGTAATTAAAAAAATATCGAATGAAATAGTAAAGCCTTTGACATATACAATGAACAAACCGTTTGAGAGCGGAGTATTTCCAACACCAAATAGCTATAATTAATGCTTACAACAGCCGCCAGTCTCTTAGTCATCTTTCTTTTTTTAAAGATATTTTCGATGAGTTTCTTTCCAGTATTTTCTCATTGTGATAACTTCAAATCTTTCCGTTTATTTACATGTTCTCGCAGTTTCCTAAGAAATTCACTCCGTCGATCTGGACCTGCATTCACCTTTTCTCTGTAGCACCTTTGCTTCTCCGCTGGCGTTAAAACCATAATCTGTTGAAGAAACAAAAAAAAACATTTAGATAAACTGTTCTGTTTTTTCTTTTTTTTTTCTCTCTCCTAATTATGTCATTTATATTACATAGTATCACATATTATGTTGCCATGGCGGTGGTAACATAATTGACGGTAACATATTTGACATTTTACACGTAAAATTTTAAAAATTACCGCCAAATTCATTCAAATTGTTATGGCTGGTTAAACAAAAGAAGCATGTATATTTTAGGTTATATTTCCTTAAAAAGTACTAAATTTTATTTAAAAAGACAAAGTAATTGAGAAAACATATTTGACATATAATAAACATACGCATTTGCTTTTATTAGTTTGTTGCTAGGAAACTATCAATAATATTTAAAACACACCACCAATTTTCTACAAATACACACATAAAATGTTACTCGTGTATTTGCTGAACCGACACTACAATACAGTGTTGCTAAGTCTTATGAATTATTACTTGCTGGGGTAACATATTTGACCATTTTTGCGGTGACAGTGACAATTTTAAAAACAATGACCTTGTTTATAATAAGTTTAACCAAGTGGTACCTATTGCCAAAGAATACCTACCCAAGAAGCGAAACTAAATGGGCGATTTGTGGACAAAAAACTGCCAAGTTTTCTCAGTGTTTTAGAGGTAGTTTAACGTCAAATATAGCTGTCCTTTATGAAAAGCAACGTTTGGTATATTATTATTAGCGTTTTGTGAAAATTGCAGTATAGTTAAGTAGTTGTATTTAACTAAGTAGTAATTAAAAATTTGTATTACATAAAAAAAAATACATTGCGTTATTCGTAAATTTTATTGAACGTTCATGCATCTGGCTGTCAATGTTTTTTTTTTAATTTCTAAATAAGTATTACCTATAATGATAATTGACGCTTACGTATTATTCATCGTTTAATTTCTTAGCCTTTTATTTAAATATGTTATTTTTTTGTTTTTCAAACTATTCGAATTAAAACAGTAAATAAACAATAATACAAAACAATATTTAAAATATATGAAAATCTCACTTTGAGGAACCAAGTTGCTGCTATCAGGATACAATCGAAATGCATTTACAGATATCTACACTACTTCTGGATATGTAACGTGTAGAGGGTGGGTTACCCCATGGCACTTAGGCCTCACTAGGTCCATTGTGTATCCACCTAAAATGATAGGCACCTCCTAGCTCGTGAGCCAGCATACATATTTAATGTAGTTGATAACGTCGCCAAGAGGTGCTTCTCTTATATCGGCCGATGCGATAGCCAATACACGCCGAAAACAAATCTTCTAATAAATGAGAGCGACTGGTAATCGTAGAGGATATGTTCAATGGTCTTATCTTTTTGTTCGCACCCCCTGATGGGTGCGGATTCTGACAGCTCCATGATATTGAAATGCTTCCGTACTTGGCAATGACCAGTCAGAATGCCTGTAATCAGACGCAGATTCTGTTTAGTCGTAGTCAAGTATTTGTATGTTGTAGTGTTGTCAGGATAACTTAAAAGCTCCCTGGTAACTTAGCAGTTTCTTATTTCATCCCATCTTTCCTTTAATGGGAATATTCTTTAATTAGGTCTGTCACTACCGATGTTGTCAGTTTAATAGAAGGGCCAGGTCCAAAAAGTATTTGGTTGGCCGCCTTCTTGGATAATGAATCAACAATAAGGCTACCTTTCGATGTGGCGTAACCTTTGATCCATCCATCTTAAGGTGGCCAAATTGTTGGATGGATACTCTTGCCAAAGCTTTGTGGCATTCTAGTATTAACCCTGAGTAAATTCGTAGCCTGTTCAGGGTAAGTAGTGTTTATCTGCTCTCTGTATAGATGAGCATGTTCCTACCAGTGATATTGTTTCTAATTATTTCTTTTCCTGCTACGAGAACCTCCGTGATCTCCGTGAACTACATTGGCACTATTGCTCACAGCCCATTTTATGTTGAGGTTTAAGGAATTGGAGTAATTCCACATCTTGAGCATTGTTTTGTTGTAGAACCGTCGGTGTAGATATGAATCGTACCTGCCACTTCCGGATCTTCTATTTGTTTTGTTATAACTTCATATGGCTTATGGAAGATATATCTCGGTGAGATGAAGTTCATGTTGGCTTGAAGCAGTGGAAGCGTATCGAGCGCCTCCTGCCAAAAGCCACGTCTTGCCTCACCGGATCCTACATCAGGTTCTATTCCAACCGTGCGGAGGCAACCTCCTTGATGTAAATATCAAGGGAGTGAGACTTGTTACTTTAGTATGTGTTTAATTTTAATGAACCAAATGACAAAAATTGATTAATATTCATACGTTTCCCAGTGTATTAAGTTCCCTTGCTTTGGTACATATGAAAACTCATTCAGTTTCGCTTCTTGGGTAGGTATTCTTTGCTATTGCTAAAAAATCGAAACAAAAGAAATTAGTTGCTACTATAAGTATAATAAAATTTATGCTGAAGTTGCAGAGCGCAGATAATTTCTTTAACGGCCTTCAGTGACAAGTAAAATTCAGAACGATACATTTAATCTAGAAATTTATACCGATTCTTCATCCATGGGATGGGGTGCATATTATGGGGGGGGAGAAGACACATGGTTGGTGGTGCAATTCAGAAAGAAATAGTCATATAAATTATTTGAAGCTATTGGCAGTATTTTATGGGCTAAGATGATTTGCTAATGATAACCGATCTGTTAACATAATTCTGAGAATGGACATTACAGCACTCTCATATATAAACCATATGGGTAGTATCAAAAATAAAAAATTAGAAATAGTTTAGCCAGAAAAATTTGGGAATGGTGCAGAGAGAGGGACACTTGGATAAAAGCGTCGTATGTACCTAGTAGAAATATTATTGCTGATTCAGGGTCTAGAATGATTTCTTCTGACACAGAATGGGAGTTAAACCAATATTTTTTTAATTTAGTCAAAAATTAATATGGCCAACCAAGCATCGATTTATTTGCAACCAATATGAACAAAAAATGCAGGTACTTACGTGTTTTTAAACAAAGACCCTTATTCTATAGCTATGGACGCTTTCACAATCTCTTGGGAAAATAGTTTTTCTATGCGTTCCCTCCTTTCTCACTAATTCTCAGAGTTTTGAAAAAGATCATTTGTGACAAAGCCTGTGGTATCGTAATAGTGCCCTTTTGGCTTTTTCAGTTTTGGTACCCTCTCTTTATGAAGTTGCAAACTCAGCCGCCATTATTATTAGGTCCAAATAGTAATTTACTTTCATCTCCTTTTTGGAAATCATTCTCGATCCCCAATATTACCCTGGTGGCAGGGAAATTATGCAGAGGCTTTCCTGTTAAGGGGTATTCCATAGGATAATATTCCAGTATTCCTGGCATCGCTGGCTACATCTACTTTAAAACAATATGAGAGTGCATTCAGTATATGACATTTGCTTTAAAAATAACCATTTATTTTAGAAAATATAAAAGATTAAAAATAAAAATTCGTTCTGTTGTAATATATATTTAACTAAAAGTGACTTGGTGAAAAAAATAATTATATTTTTTGATGTCGAAATTAACCCTAGAACGGTATCGTTTAATTTCTACCGCTTGTTGGTATCGACACGTAAAATTTACGCATTCGCAAATTTTTACATGTATACTTTGTAAAATTACCTGTTTCATTAGTTTTTTTTTATCTGACATAAAATAGTGTTTTTAACATATTTTAATAACAGAAAAATATTTTAAAATAAAAAAATTATAGTAACTGAATTTAAAAATAAAGAGAACATTTTTTTCATTGTTTTTTTTTAAATACGTGCATATTTTTATTTGGTATTCCCCATATACTGTTTTGGTACATTTTACGCAGTACACGTAGTTGCCATTCTTTCCTTTTATGTAGGACAAAGGTGGCAATATTTATCTGATCGCTTTTTGATCCCCTTCCCCTTCATATTTGTACTGGGTATAAAGGTTTCTTTAACATCTACTGCACTTACTGTACTTAGGTATCCTATTTGTTGACTTTTTGATTGCCATGCTTTAATAAGACTTTTGTGAAGTACTCAAAACGTGTTAAAATTTTTCCACCTAATGCTTCAACATTGTGTGACTAAATTATGTATGAATTGATGCAAGCCATGTTTATCACATTGTAAAAGACACAAAGAGCCATTAGCACGACATTAGCTTGGCGACACGTCAGATAAACGTACAACAAATAACTACGTATTGGTATCAATGCGTATTTTTTGCGTGTATACTTTTCAAAATCAAGCCACATCTTCTTTTCCTAAATAGTTGCCACTGTGGCACCTACAAATCATCACAAGTAGATGTTTTCTGAGGCATAGCTAGAAGCTCAAAATCGTGACTCAAAAGAATTAGTGGAGAGGGCCCTTTCGCTACAAACCTCACGTAAATTTTAAGTACGATACCGCTCTATTGTTAATGAGAACACAACTATTTCAAGTTATCCTGGAATTACCCAAATATGTTAATCATCAGCCACAATCCAATCTATGTAGATCGCAGTGGAAGGCGATGATACCATCCCCCTCATTTCCAACCTAACCTAGCCTGAGATTTTAATACCTGCGTGATCAACTTGCTTAAAAAATATCTCGGTTCAAAAGACTAAAAATATGTCTTGGTGGTTTTCATATAAGAAAAATTTTATGAAAGAAACTGTGTGACGTTTTTATTAAATCATAAAGCATAGGAACATTTCGTTACTAAGATTGAATTAAGTAGACGGAAAAAAACACTTTTGTTCAAAATACGGTTATTATGAGGTTGCAGATAGAAAATTCAATAGAACAAAAGGAAAAAATTTGACCCTGAACTTTTCAATCAGTTATGATTTTATGTAAATGTCGTGTGATATTAGTTTAATAAATTGTAATAGTTTAACTTGTTAATAATATTTTTTTAATAAATAATTAAATATAATAAACTGTAATGTATTTTTATATACTTTAAATTATCTGCATAGATTTTTCTAATTATGTTAATAATCATTGCAATATGAGATACTAGCATATTATAGTTTCTATGTTTTAGGAATTTTTAATTACATAATATTTGGGTTGTGTTACATTATTAAATGAGGATTGTATTTTATTAAAAATTACTCATTTCCCATTGTCTCTACTTAATTACTTTTGTGTTTTCAGGATTGGACTGCTAAGAAGATCGTGTTGCATATTTGTATTTTTAATTTTGTTTTCTATAAGCAGTATAATCTACATAAATTTTCCTAATAAATTGTGGAGTATCAGCCAGTTCAGTGCGTCCAACATATTAATGGTAAGTTGTAAATTTATTTCAAATTATGCATAACAGTTACAAAGTATTTCTAAAGTTTTTTCTTTTAATTTCTAGAGTGATTAAATTAAGTACATTGTGTAAATTATCAAAAATTTGGATATGTATATCATGTATTCCAAGTGTACTCGGATGATCTAAAGTTCACCATTGAATTATTTTTCAATTTTTTGTTAGTTTGTTATCTCCTTTGAGACCCAATTTTTGAAATTGTTGGAATTGACTCATTAATTATCAATCAATGTTGAAAATATAAGAAGGTAATTTCCGTTTGCCAGAGATTGTATTAACCCTAATTAAAATTAATTCTTTGGGTTTGGTGGTAGATGAAGTTTTTATAAAAAAGACTGTCCTGCATGATCAGAAAATAAAGGGTCATATACTTCAACTTTATAAAAACCGTTATCTGAATTTGTGATAATATTATCTAAAGAGATGTAATGGTGGGATATATACTGCTTCGACTTCGAAACTATTCGTTTTTATGTTAACCGCTGTTACCTGGATTTATTCTGTTCCTATTTTGTTCTCGTCATAATGGTTAATATTTTCTGTTATTATTACGGCGCTGTCACCTCCAGCGGTATCCGAGGGATGTAAGGTACTATAGACTTTGTATCCTTTAAATTGTATATAGCTTTGATTTGTTAAATGCGTTTCTGATATTAAAGAGATATCTATATTTTGTTTTATTAGGAACACCTGTAGCTGTCGATGGTCGAGGAGTCCACTGGCATTCCATGTTACAAAGATTAAGCCTCTACGCTCGATTATGGATGTCTAGATGTTTGGGGAAAGGTGGCCTCCTCTAATCTGGTAATTGTGTCTAGAATTGTATTAAGCATAGTCATTATTTGCCATTTTTTGTGCATTATTAATGATAGGTCATCTAGTTTGGGTAATATTTCTATTGTGGTTACTTTTGCTTACCTGGTCTCTTCTGTATTGTATCTCCTTTGCCACTTCGTATCCTCTATAGCTTGCTGAATGTGCTTTATTGCAATTTGCACATTTTATTAATGTCTTGATTTAATATAGACCTTTACCGTCTTCGTCGTTTTCAAATATTAACATGCATAGCGGCAATGGCTTTTTTATAGCAGTTCTTATAACTTGATTTCCTCTATCTTGTTCTTTAGTTTATCTCCTATGAATGTTAACCACATCCAAGATTTAAAGTCCACTGTGCTTTAATTATTCAGCTATATCTTCTGACTTGCAGGTAGGATGTTGGTTTCTAGCCATCACTTTTATTGGTCTGGTTTGTTTTATCTCATATGAGTTTGGTTTAAGAGATCTGTTGTCATTATTCTACAGGGTGTCAATTTGAAATCTTTCAATGCGAATATCTCGCAAAATAAAGAAGTTGGAGAAACGCCGTTTGGCACAAATGTTAAAGAGTTAGAGAGAACTAGAACCACCATATTTCAGTGAAGGGGTGAGTCACCCCTTAGGCGCGACACACAGCAACTTTAAAATGTTAAATTGCACTACCCCTTTTGATATACCTCAAATGAAAGATCTCATTTAGTAGTATTCACCTGTACAAGAATTTTTTTCCATTCAATACAGGGTGTAGCAAAAACATGAATTCGAATAAAATAAACTGTATTTTGTTAAAATGGTAGTTTATTTGATCAGATAATTCAAAATGCATTCCAATTATTTCTAAACGATAGTATAATTGATTTTCAAACTCCGTTATTGTTATTAAGATGACATTTTATTTCATTAGATGATCAACATGCATTCCATTTTTTGTAAACAAAAAAAACTTCAAATTCCATTCTTAAATTTTGGAGCACTTATCTGAGAATAAAAAATAGCATTGAATTTATCGAGCACGTACCCTATCAATGTTTGTATAAAATTTAGTCGTTTGTGCAAGGTTGTAATGCAAAGTCAGAACTGTCTAATTGAAGAAATATGAGTATAATTTTTATTTTCTGTTTATCATGGTCTACAGTTTGGCTGAAAGAATTCAGATGGTGTTTATTTATGGTTCAGAAAATCGTTGTGCCTTAAGAACTGCTGCAGCATTTAACGAAATAAACCCCGGAAAAAATGTAAGTCATACTTACATCAGACAACTGATTAATAAATTTGAAGAAACAGGATCAGTGGCAAACAAAAAAAGGGTCCATCAAAGAGTACTTAATGAAGCAGCACAAGTGGAAGTTTTAGGACATTTTGCTCTAAATCCTACAATGTTTCTACGCGATAACGGGAATTTCTCATGAAGCTGTTCGTCGGGTACTCAAACTTCATAAGTTTTACCTGTACAAAATGCAAATTCTTCAGGAGTTGTAGGAGGATGACCCCGATCGAAGAACGCAATTTTGCGAGGACATGACCGAGTTGCTAAAAAATATTTGTTTTAGCGACGAATTCACGTTTCATTTAAACGGTTCAGTGAACAAACACAACTGCAGGTATTGAAGTGACGAAAATCCGCATTTCTTCAGGGAAGAGCACACGCAGTATCCAGAAAAAATACATGTCTGGGCGGGAATTTTAGGCGACACTGTGATTGGGCCATTATTTATTAATGGCAATCTTAATGGCGATACTTACTTGGAAAAGTTAGACACCACCATTCAACCTCTCATTGTTGAAGAAATTGAAAATCAGCTGGACATTGACAGAAACAGGAATGTGAATGAAAATTTAATACATTTTCAGCAAGACGGAGCCCCACCCCACTACGTTCTTCCAGTCAGGCAATTTTTGAATGACGCTTTTCCAGGTCAATGGATTGGACGGAGAGGTCCAATCGAATGGCCGGCGAGATCTCCCGATCTAACACCTCTTGACTTTTTTCTCTGGGGACATTTGAAATCCATCGTATTTAAAACAAAACTGGATTCAATAGATCTTCGGCAACGAATTATTACGGAATGCAGCAATATTCCAAGAGAAGTGTTCCACAATGTTAGAAAAGAATTTGAATATCGATTATACTATTGTTTAGCACAAAATGGAATGCATTTTAAACATCCAATCAAATAAAATATCATGAAATTTTTTTATTCGAGTTTTTTTGTTTCTGTTACCCTCTGTATTGAATGGAAAAAAATTCTTGTACAGATGAATACTACTAAATGAGACCTTTCATTTGAGGTATAACAAAAGGGGTAGTGCCATTTGACATTTTAAAGTTGCTGTGTGTGGCGTCTAAGGGGTGACTCACCCGCTCACTTAAAAATGGTGGTTCTAGTTCCCCCTAACTCTATAACATTTCTGCCAAACGGCGTTTTTCCAACTCTTTTATTTTGCGAGATATTCGCACTGAAAATTTTCAAATTGACACCCTTTATATTATTGTTCATCTTTTACGTTTAATTTAATTTCATCGTTATTTGATATGGTAGCTACAAAATTGTGTTGCTTACTTATTAGTTTTTCTCTTAACTCTTCAAGGTTTTTGATCTGAGTTACTATTATTGGTGGTGGTAAGTTTTGTTTCGGTTGTTCTTTTTGTGCAATACTTTGTTGAGCGTTTTTATTTGGATGGTTTAATTTTGCTTATTTTTGTACGTTGTATTGTTCTTTGGTTGTGTTTTGAGGTGACACTTCAGGAGATTCTCACTTTTTTCGTTTTTTGAGTTCTTTTGCTTCTTTGTACCATCCAAGCTGTTTCTTTATGGACTATTTTTTATTCTGAATGATTCGATATGCTGTTGTTGTTGTTGTTTTTTTTTTGCATACCTAACATCATTTTCATTTGTTGTATTCTTGATTGTATTTCCTGCAATTGTTTAGTCAGCCCCTGTATAGCTGATTCTTTCTTTTAGAGTATATCCCTATATTTCTTTTCAATTCTTTCCTCGTCTTTGCAAACTAACTTTTGATGTAAATGATATCTGAAAGTTTCAAGTCTGAGCTTCTATGACAGTATTTCCTAGACAGGCTTTGTTTAGTCGCCATCGCAGCACAGTCTTTTCACGTCCTACAAGGTAATATTGAACGAATTTTTTGTAATCTTTTCTTTCGCAAATAGCACATATAAAAGTGTTACTAGCTTCCCTACTAATACTATCAGACGCAAAATAAAATGAAATTTGCGGATATGGAATTGGAAGAACTCAGGGTAGAAAACAACAAGAAAATTTTTTGATTTTTGATTTGATTTTAAGCGCATGAGTAATAGAGATTATTAATAATGAGAAAGGCCCATTGTGATAAAATAGTTCGTTTAATCTAGATTTAAACATGAATATTTCACGACCTTTATATTACATATATTTCGAATTTTAATTTTAAATCGCTGCGAAATTTTAAATAGAAAATATTTTAAAATATTCATATCCAATATAAAGTAATGAGAAATAAATAAATTTTAAATAATTTCATATTTGATTACTTATTCATTCTGTCATAATTATTTGAAAACAAACAGCATATTAATAACCAATTCGTGTAAAATGATATTAACTAAACGACAAAAACAGTTATTGAATTTACATAAATAAATAATAATTAATATAAAACAAATAATGTTCGTAAAGAGAAAAAGCAAATATATGTATAATTAAAATATGGAAATGCAAAAACTTATTGGTTTTTGATAAAAAATGGTTTTATTGTTAATTGTGGAACACCTCATATGTTTTTTTCTATTTTAGGGTTTGATCATACTGATTTTGTACATAATTAAATCAGAAACTAGAATCCAACAAATGTTTGTGAAGAAGAAAAAAGCTGAAAATATGTTTTTTAGTTACAACTCATCGAACACCTCACCATTAAAATGTAAGTTCATATTCCAAATATTAAAATTTGTATTAGAATATTCAGATTAAATTCACCAAAACCAATTGGTAAATTAACAAAGAATGAGAACAATCAATATATTACATATTACACAGCTTGTCTTGGATATCTTTGCAAATTTTTATGTTTTCAAGTGCCCAAATTACGAATATATTTATAAAAGTACTGAATGTGCTCTTGTATTTTATGATTTTTACATATCTCTTATTTTGAACAATTATCGGCTTGTTAGTAATAAAATGTATTTTCCCAGTCATGATTAGGCTTATGCGCAACTTTTTCGCGCACACAAACATCACGTGATCCCCACTCTCAGACCCCTTGCTACGCAGAACAGCTGAGATCTACCACTTAATAATATTGAAGTACTTACACGTGAATCTGAATAAGTTGTCATGTGTTAATATTTTGTTTTAATTACAAAATTACCACTCTAATATGAGGAGCGTCGAATTAAACTGTGTTATGTCCACGACTTAAAATTTTTCAAAAACTAACTAAATTGTACTACGACTTTATATTATTTGGTACGATCCCAATAGTTATAGCATTTGAAAGACAAATGATATAGTTATTGACTAACACTAAAAGATAAATAATTTCGTTGCAGGTTAAGGAAAAATAAAAAAATAGTTTTGGACATAATATGAATTGATCCAAATATACTGGAAACAAAAACTAAGGCAAAATAAAACACATTTTCAGAAAAATAACATAAAACTTCCATGTAGCGAAAAATATTGATACCTAACAAATTTAAAGATGCATCAGTTCCGCTGTTCTTCCAGACAGTCGCACATAAGCTCGTCTTCAGCTGGGGTTTCAGTAGCAGGTGGATCCTTACCCTGCATATCCAAGTAAAACTGGATTCTTTTATCATTTTTCAATTCTTCACCAAATCGCTTATTCAGTAGATTTCCCACATCAGATTTCTTTGCTTCTGAAACTTTACTTTGTAATGGAATAATTGGGGGGTAACCACATTATACATTCTTTTTATTTTTTTCAGTAACGGAACGTAAATCTTGGAAGGGTTGTCATTTTGGTAAGTTTTCTCCATTTTAAATGCTACCCCATTAGCAACTTTTTTCAAAAGATTTTTTTTCATATAATGCCATCAGTTTTTTGAAAAAATTACAAAGGCTCTTGTAATCCTGTATTTGCCAGTCAGATCCTAAAACGCGCACTTCACCTACTTTTGAATAAATTTTCTGGTAGACTTCTGGCAAAAGTATTACTTCATATTTTCTAATTTTCTTCTCAACCCGTCCAAATAGTTGGTCTAGAGGTAGATAAGAATACCCTCCGACTGAGAAGTACGAGGTAAGCGCCAATAATTCCCGGCCTGACAATGTAATCTCCCTTAACCTCAATGCACTTCTTACAAGGTTTAATTAACAATTCAATCCCTTTAAAAAAATATTCTTACGGTTTATCCTCAAAATGGGCCAAAACAGCTTCTTGTAACTCAAAATCGTCCTGAAAACGTCGCCCGCAAAGGTCCTTTTTCAAATAACTAAACAAATAATAATCGCTGGGAGCCATATCTGGACTATAAGGAGGGTGATCTATATTTTGAAACCCGCAATCTAGGATGGCAGCTTGTGTAACGCCAGCAGTATGAACGGGCGCATTGTCGTGCAACAACCGCACGCCTCTGGTTAATTTTCCTCGACGTTTTTCCCGAATACATTCCCGCAACTTATGAAGTAATGCGGCATAATATGTGTCATTAACGGTGGTATTTGTCTCTTTAAAATCAATCAGAAGGATTCCTTCACAATCCCAAAAGATCGTAGCCATCACCTTTTTCGTTGATTGGCAGACTCTAAATTTTCGCTTCACCCTTACGGCGCCACTCCATTGATTCCCTTTTCGACAGAGGATCATAATAAAGAACCGTAGTTTCCTCTCCAGTAAAGAGCCATTTTGTCCTCCGTTATCACCTCCACTGTCCGTCCAGGTCTTTCGTCATCTTCAAGGGATTCCTTACCCATGCGAAAACGTTTTGCCCATTCCTTCACTAGGTACCGAATAGGAAGGGGAACTTTGGCCACATACGCCATCGAGTCTTTCTTTAATAATTTTAGGTGTAAGCCCTTCTTTTGTTAAAAATTTAATAACCGCTCTGTACTCAATTTTCGTCACCTGAGACATTTTCGGAGATACTTTAGTTCAAAATGCTGACAATTAAAAACTATTTGACGTAAGTCGCTTATTTTGTTACCACAGCCTACTAAGGTTTGTAGTTGTAAAATGTTAAACTTTTATCCTGATAAAATATCTGCAACTATGCCAGGCCGGGAATTATTGGCGCTTACCTCGTATAGCTGAATGTACTTCAAGTGATTCGTAACTTTCTTATGGAACCATAGAGCATTCTTATTTTGGCCCCCGCAGTCATCTGCAAATAATCTGATAGTTCTTTCATCAGTAAATGAATATGATTTCTAAAAAATCGCACAAAGCTGAGGAAACTTCCACGACTACTCTGGCAGCTTGATTTTCACACCACTGGTAAAATGCAGGATGTTCACCATTGATGTCCGTTACGCAGAATGAGTAAAGTGAGATCTGCTTAGAATAGAATTGACAGTTTTGGCAAGGGTTAAACCTGTTGCAAATCGAATGAAAACGTAACAGAACCAAAAAGTTGCATTTTCATAAGTTTATGAAAGGTTCTTGCTAGCAATTTGTGAGCACCTAAGAATGCTAGCAGTTTGTTTTAATCATCCACATTTTTGGCTTCTCGAATCCTATGCTTTCTCTGCAAACAATAACTGCAAGCATCTATCGCAGGTGAACCTAAACCCAAATTAAACTTTGTAGCGAAAATTCTTTCAAAAAAACATCTCTTGACTCTCAGTTCAGGGGAAACACTGGAATTGTAAAGTTTTAAAAGTCCAGCAATGCTTAAAGTTGACAGGAGGTATAATCTTTGAGTTTTATTTCGTGAATAGTAGCTTTCGGAGGCCCTTAATCTTGAAATAAATTATATGACCTCTTGTCGTTTGTTAAAAAACAAGTTTATTTTGTGATCTCCTCTTCGACGTTCGCAAGGTACTTCCCCTAATTTCACATAGTTCTCTATTTTATTTATTCGACTTTGAGCAATACTAAAAACTATCCCAAAAATCTTTGAACTAACTCTCACGTCCCTTCCATTTGATCGTTAGTAATAGGAAACCGTCATAGAGGTTGCTTTTCGCAAACTTGTTGGACCTCTATATCTTCGCCTTTTAGGCTCGGACGCTTTCATCATAAGTGCCTACTTCAAACAACTGGCGTACCTTTTCTGCGTTTCCCGCCACCGTTTCGTGTTCCCCAACAAGTAATCCGGTTAATTCCATCACAAATACTTAATAAAATTGTAAACACGTTGTCTTCGACTCGAAAAGTAAACAACACTGCCAATTAAAAATAATTATTTCACCTTGAAACTGCAATGAACATTCGCGGCTTGGACATAATATAGTTCGAACCAAAATTCATGATAAACATAATATAGTTTGATCCATAAATCCATTATTATGATATATTTTGCATGGGCTGTAACCACTTTTGATCCGTACAACCTTCAGAAATCGGAAGAGCGCTGATTTTTTAACGGAAAGCTATATCAAACTTATTTTTGTCCAATGATGGACAAAATACAGTTTGATTCGACGCTCCTTATATATTGGTCTTGTCTTTTAAAACATGAGTTCGGCACGAAGAAATTGTAAATGTAGTAGTGATTTATTTTCTTATATTTACGGTGTTTGTATAACAAAAAAACAAAAAAGAAATATCATAGACTTTGTCAAGGAAACTTATGCTGAATATTTCGGTTTTAAAATGGACAAACTAGATAAATAATGGGTTCCTCATAAAGTTTGTAAGTCCTGTGTTGAGTCTTTATGGTTGTGGAAAAAATAAGAACGTTCTGGATTAGACTTTGGTATTCCTATGATATGGATGGAGCCTAAGAATTATTTCGATGATTGTCACTTTTGCGTAGTAGATGCTAAAGGTTTTAATTAAAATCAAATGTGGAGATATCCAGACTTACGGTCTACAAAATGTCCTATTCTGTATAGTGAAAATCTTCCTCGGCCTACTTACATTTCAAAAAAAGTTCGTATGCCCTCAGAAACAATGATGTTGGTAAATTCACAGACATCGAGACAGTCTACCAGTGAAAGTGAATGGGAGGGAGAAACATCTACGCCAAAGTTATTTTCTCAAAATGAACTCAGTGATTAAATACGTGATCTCAATTTATCAACACAAGGATCAGAACTGTTAGCCTCAAGATTGAAAGAAAAAATTTACTGGCATCAACAGTAACAATTACATCATACAGAACGCGAGAAAGTGAGTTATTATAATTTTTTTAGTGAAAATGAAGGACTGGTATTCTGTAATGATATTGCGAAGCTGATTTTAGACGAGCGTTTAAAAGAATACTGAGTGGTGCCTTTTTATTGACAGTTATAAAAGAAGTTTAAAATGCGTCTTAATGTACAATGGAAATAAATTTGCATCAATTTCAATTGCCTATTCAATACAACTCAAAGAAGAATATGAAAATATAAAATTAATTATAGAAAAAATTGATTACTCGGAGCATCAATCGCCTGTCTGTGTGGATTTGAAAATGGTTAATTTTTTACTTGGTCAACAAAATGGATACCCGAAATACCCTTGCTTTATTTGTATGTGGGACAGTAGAGCTTCATTAAGAACAAGATGTTTGGCCTGTAAGAAATTCTTTGACTGTCGGTAAAGCCAATGTAATAAGGGAGATGTTGGTGAGCAGAGATAAAATCATATTTCCACCAATACACATTAAATTAAGAACAATAAAGCAATTTGTAAAAGCGTTGGACAAGGAAGGAGATTGCTTTAATTACATTTGTAGAAAATTTCCGAAGCTAAGTATGGAAAAGATGAAAGGTGGAATATTTGATGCTCTTCAAATACGGCAATTGATAAAAGACACAGATTTTATTAAAATTATTTATGACTTTTCCGAAAATAAGGCTTTAAAAAGTTTTGTGTTGGTAGTTGAAAATTTTCTAGGTAACTATAAATTACCAAATTATGAAGAAATTGTACAAAATATGCTGACAAACTTTCAAACTCTAGGAGCAAATATAAGTATCAAATTACACTTTCTCTGCAATCATCTGGATAAATTTCTGGATAATTTAGGAAATTATAGTTAGGAGCAGGAAGAGCAGCTCTACCAGGATCTAAAAGTGATGGAAGAAAGGTATCAGGTCGATGGAATTGTCACATGATGGCAGATCACTGCTTGTCTTTAAAAAGAGATTGTCCCTTGAAAAATTATATAAGAGAAGCTCATAAAAGGCGTTTTATGCAAATTTAACATATGTTTTTGACATGTTTCCCTCTATTTACTTCGATGCATCCTAATTGTTCAAAACAAACCTGACATTACAAATATATCTGTTATTTTGTTTATATTTTCCGATTTTTATAATGTATAATGTAAAATGAAAATAAAGATTTAAAAGAAAACGAGAGCAAATCTTACGAAATCATTGATAGTTTCATGAATTGTAAGCAAAAATATATCCAAAATCAATCTTATATCTAGGACAACAAAACCACTGTAGATCAGTGTTACTGTTATCAACTAATATAATTTTTTTTTAGTTATTACAAAGCAAGATCCAGAGGTTGAAAACGATTCGAGCCCCCATACAAGATCAGAAAGCCAACAATTTACCATGGCAAATCGCGATAACACAATGGCTGGAAAGTCTCAAAGCATAGCCGCTACATTCGAGAGTTGCCTGCATAACATCCCAACATGCGACACTCGCGTAGACGTTTCTGTAACGTCGCATCGTTTCAAACAACCACCGTTGGAATGTTATAGTTGCAGTCCGCAGAGTTTTAGAAAATTTCCAGGAGGTAAGAAACTAGATCATCTATCATTTTAATTAAAATCGTCTTATAAATGGAGTTAATATACTATACAAATTAACGTAATAAACAAAATGCTGTGGTGGGAATGTGAAATATGATGTTGCATATGAAGAGTATTCTATTGAGAGGGCAAATAAATCAATCACTTATAGCAATAGGTAACATAATCGTTTACAATTATTATACGGGAAACACAATGTTACCTACTTTTTGATTTCTACGATGTAAATTATATTTAATAAGTGATTTAGCTCAAATTGCTGGTACTGCGTAGATTCATAAATTAACCAGGACAAATAAAATCAGAGTAGCTTGATCTGTTCGCGAGCCAGTGTCTACTTTACGATAAAATTAAAGATATTATAAAACAATAACGAGGGAAATGTTGAGCGCCACCTAATTTTTGAGTAACTTGTAAAACTTATCTGATTTTTATATGCCCTGTTTAATTAAGTCAGTCTCTAGTAGCTAAAGTTATCTGTTATGAGTACAGGCAAATAAAAGAAAGTGAGAAAATTTAATAAATTTAATAAAAAGAATAAGAATTAATTTACACATTAAATTAATAATTAACGGCTATTGAAAAAATGGATGAAAAATTGACTATTGAAAAATTTAATGAAATTGAATGGTGATGTTTAAATTGTTTCTTTTTTTTTCGACCATGTGGCATTATATAGCGATTCTTCCCTGTTAAATCGTCTCCTAGGTAGATAAAGTCTGTCCGATACTTTAAAGGTACTTGGAGCTATGTCGAGACTTGGAGATATGTCCAGGCTTTGTTATACATGGAGTTGCTTTGGAGCTACTTGGAGCTTTTTCGAAACTGGGAGCTATAAGAGACTACTTGAGGGTACTTCGATATTACTCAGAGCTTGTTTGGAGACTAGGAAGCTTCGTGAAGCTATGTAACATGAAGTTTATTTATAATCACGTGGAGCTTGGAACTTGGAACTCGAAACTCACGTGCTTGAAGCTCGGACTTTGAGCCACTACATGTTTAGAAATAAGAAGAAAATCAGTAACAAGAATAATACATCTACAGGCCAGTTTGGAAATCTAACGTACTTATGCATAAAGGGGACAAATATTAAAGTTACATAATCTGAACAGAATATAATACCTCACCAGGTATTGAATTACGTCGAAAGAAAATAGCAGAGATAGAAAATATTTTCAACACTGTACCTTTGATTTTGCCCACTAAGGAGAAAGTCATTCTTGGACCGGTTTCGTCCTTATTAGGACTCTTCAGCAAGAAATAGAAATTCTCGACTCCAGTCTCTAATGGAGTCTGATTGCAATACCAATTTCGATTGAACTCAATTACGGCGGGTTGAGCATAAGTAGATATTCAAGGAATATTATTTATTTATTTATATAATAGAATTGTATCTAATGAAAAATTTAAATTTAATAAAAATTTGATGGTAATTATATTTTTAAGCTTTTCTATTATAGTTCTGATAATGTTTTATACAGATGTCCCAAATTGTACGGATCCAACTGAAATAGTTTATAAATTTCATAATTGTAAGCAAAAAAGTTCATATTATTACGTAACACGCAAACATTGATCAAATTTCGATCAAAAGTCAAGAGATGTAAAAGTTAGATAACTAATTAAAAAAACCAAGAAAATATCAAATTTCACAAGTGGCGTGCAGCTGAAAATGTATCAATTATAAACCACCAGTAACTTTGTTACTGATGAAAATCGGACCATTGTTATTATGAACCTTTTTGCTTAAAATTATGAGATCTTTAACCTGTCTCCGTTTTATTTAATTTTTGACACCCTGTATAATGTAATACCTATTAAATATTGAAAAAAAAATAATTTGGTTAAAAGTAAAATTAGAATGGAAAAATATCTAACTCCATCAACTTTAATAATTATATTTTTTTAATTAAAGAGCATGGATATTCATATTTTTTATTAGAAAAACTACAACTTACAATCCTGTGTAATAATCGTATTATATTTTCTCCTCATCTTCCGATGCTTCGCTGACTTCTTCAAAATCTACCAATTTTTAATCGACCTTTTATTTATTTTTGGAATTTTCACTTGTCTTTTGATTTAAGGAATATTTTGATATGTTTTTAAAAATTGTATTTCAAACCAAATATAAAACAACATATTGACGTTGTTTTTGATTATTACATAGAAAATTCGATTAAAAATGTTGTTAGGTTCTTCGGATCTTCCAAATCAATTAATAGGATTATTACTAATTAAGAGATCCTGTTTCCACAACAATGGAATTTATTTATTCACTGAATATTTAATAATAAACAGTTAACCAATATTTAATCAAACGAACTTCCTGATTAGGTACGGATTATATGATTATAAGACGAGTGGTGGATTTAATAACACTACAGACTTTAAATCCAATATTAATATTTGTGAAGAAAATCGAAAACTATTAGTATTAAACCATGAAGAAGTTGACACTAGAATTTAAATGTCAAACGCGAGTTTGACATTTGTATTTAGTAAGTTAGATATCAAATGTACGAAAAATCGAATTTGAAACAAGAAAACTTCTTCTAAAGCAGAGAGAATTGATATGGTGCTTGTTCTTGGTCAGTGTCATGAAAACTGTTTATTGGCTTCTAGAGTTTACGGCGAAAAATACCCAGATCGAAAGAAACCTGACAGACGTACTTTTGAAAGATTACTACAACAGTTTAAAGTTAGCGGAAACGTAGATTACAAAAAAATTATTCAGCCTCAACCTATTGTAGATCATGATAATGAATTTTGGGTTATTGGCTCACTAATAGAAAACCCACACACAAATCATAGGGCTATTAGTAGAGAAACTGGAATAAGTAGGAGAAGTTGTAACATTCATATAGGAAATATGAATGTTGTGTAATTATAAACTTAATAACATACCTGCTGGTAACAATAAGAAAACATAAAATCTATGAAATATAGAATTTTTTATGATTTTTTTATTCTTTTATAGGCAGTAATTAAAATTGGTTTTGATTACATATATTATTTTGCTTCAATATTGCTTTATTTACATAGCATTCTGTCTATTTTCATCTCAATATCAATTTTCTTAATACTATCTTCAGGACACCTAAAATAAACAAAGTTTTATTAGTAAAAATTATAAATTAAACAAATTGCTTTCTACTTACCCAGTTCATTATAAAATACAATACTTTGGTTTCTTCAGGTACAATAATTTCTTGTAATCCTCCAGAGGGTCTTAAATCATTAACAGTTAAATATTTAAATTTGTTTTTGAAATAGTAAACATTGTTTTCATTGAATTAGTTCAAATAAAACACCTGTTGACTGTCGTTGTCAATCTAATGTCAATGTCAAAACTGGTTATTTCTCTGCCAGTGACTTAGGGTTTTTTTAGCGTTGCATTTTCAATAATATTTCTTAATGACGTCAGAGCTAGAAGTCTTTTGCTGGCGTCTGATTGGCTGTTTCAAACTTCAAGGCCAATATTGCCGTTTTTTATTAATAATTTGGTTTTTGTTTCGGCGATTCTCTGGTCTTTTTCGTGTTAATAGCTGACTGATTTAGTAGCATCTTTGGTTTAGTCGAAATAAATATTAATTTTTACATGGTCATCCTAACTTTTAGGAGGTAAGAATTTCAAAATTGAATTAATTAAATTATTATTTACCATCGCATTTCCATATTTTTAGATTTGTCGACCTATAAAAATAGGAATATATACCATATTTTTTTGGTACAGAAAAAGCCGACAAATAAGGTCCGTGGTTTTGATAAACCAGCCTTTTGTATATTTTATAATTTGTTATACATAACATTGGAAACTTGGATGTCTCAGCTTGATGCGGCGACAGCTTTACTATTGAGAGCTTCAGCTTCTTGGAACACTTCCGTAGAAAGGTTTACTCCGTCTATGATGAAGGTCAAGGCTAAATATTTAATTCGTCATCCCCATGTCTTCGTTACCGGACTGCGACATGTCCTCATCACCATCTCGTAGAGATTTTTTTTCGTTATCTCGTTTAAGGTCAGAAATTTCTAATTTTTCTTTTAAGTTAAATTAAGTAAATAATAATTTCTTTGTTACAATTTTCATAAATCAAATTTAATAATACTTGTTTTGATGATTTTTTTTATTTGAACTACTATATTGGTGTAAATTTAAAATATTATGTCTAAAATCCTATGAATTAGGTATTTAAAGTTCACCAGCGTGTGAACCGAAATATTTTTATATATTTTGAACTTAAGGTATTTACCATAGAATAATTAACTAATGCTACGATTAGAAGATAAATTAACCATTATTTAAAAATACTCTACTATAATGAAATAAAAGAAATTGTGGTAATTTCATCATTTTATTATCCCTAAAAGTTTTCATTTCAGGCCTAATATTTTGTTTACTTGTAAGTTTGAAACACTACCAGAACTTAATGGCGCCCAGCTTTAAGTAATTATTTATATTAATTTTTCTTGACATATATTTCTTTGTCATCGAACCTCGACCCGCCCCAAACACGTGAGCTACCGCGCCTTGTGCCTTCGCAAAAAAAATCAAAGAGGGTTACAAAGTATTGGACTAATAATAAAAAAACATTAATTTCATCCTTATCCAAGAACTGTGTTAAAGGGACTTTCAACAAAGAATCGATAGAATCAAATGCGGATTTTTTTGATAATGTTCTTTTTTCGGACGAGCGCACGTTTCATAATAATGGACTCATTAATCACCATAACTTTCATTATTATAGTGATGAAAATCCTTACGTCTTTCGTACTCTCGATCATCAGCATAGCTGGTCCTTGAATGTGAGGGAAGGTTTACATGTTATTGGTCCTTATTTTTTTACCGGTCATCTTAAAGGCAGAAAATTTATAAAATTTTTGCGGAGAAAATTATCAAGGCTCCTTGATAATGTACCTTTAAATACTAGGCAGAAAATGTGGATGCATTTTTAACTCCGAGTACAGCGATACTTAAACCGGCGTTTTGTTAATAAATGGATCGGAAGAGGTGGTCTACATAATTGGCCTCCAAGATCTCCAGACTTGACGTCGTTGGATTTTTTTATGAAGACACATAGAAAGTATAGTTTATAACACCCCACCAACTACTCCGGAAGATATGAAAGCTAGAATAAGAGCTGCTTTTCAGACAGTAACTGGAGAAAGTCTTCTCAAAGTGAAACGATCCTTTGAAAAACAAATTCAGTTGTGTTTAGGAGCCGTCGACAGAGTCTCGTAGCGTGTACACGTATCGACATCTGAAGCGCTAGGGAAGATCAGTATTCCGAGAAACTTGTTAATTATTAGACAGTTAATTAATAAATATCTGGTTATGTTATCTTATTAGCCGGCTAAAAAACTTAAAAAATAAAAAATAATAGAAATATGTTCCCTTTGTGGAATTTAATAGGATTTGATAAGAATGGCCAGCCGATTCACCAACAAATTAATACTATACAGGGTGTCCCAATAATAAATAACCAACAGCAAATCTATCAGAACTAACTTAATCAAACAGCATTTAATTCGCAAGTACCATTAATGTATTTCAACCAAATACCACCAAACCACACGCAAATAAATCAAATGTTCATTTCAACCCAAATGTCTATACCAAACCAAACAGAAATCCCTAACCAAATGATTGCACGAAACCCTAATCAACGTTCCCAAACCCTCACTGCCCACTTTCAGATAGTAATAGCGATATGGAACTCAACAACGAATCAGAGAGCCAAAATAAACACCCGTGGCAAGTAATTCGCAAGAAAAAAGAATGAATCGTCAAACAACTCCTGAAGTCCCCACCCAAATTGAAACACAGAACAGATTTGAATTCCTCCCTCAAGAAAATCTCGATAAACACACAGAAAATTTATCAAACACACAAAACACAAACATCACTAAAAAAGATCCCACACCTCCACCAATCTATATTTATGGAGTTACTGACTACGGTGCCATGATAGCAAACCTTACAGCTGCAACTGCAGCAGAAACCTATTACACCAGAACACTCTCAAATAATACAGTAAAAATAAATCCTACAAATTTAGACACCTACCGAAAACTGATTCATCGCCTTAGAAAAGAAAACATTGTATACAACACCTACCAACCCAAAGAAAAGAGGGCTTATAGAATTGTTATAAGAGAACTACACCATTCAATACCAACCAAAGATATCTCGAACGAACTAAACAATAAGGGTTTTAAAGTTCGCAATATAATTAATGTCAGACACAGAGTTAGTAAAGAACCGCTACCACTATTCTTTGTAGATATAGAACCAGATGAAAACAAAAGACATATTTAACCTAAAAGACCTACAACACTGTAAAATAACAGTAGAACCACCAAGAATAAAAAATACAATAGTTCAATGCACTAGATGCCAAAAATACGGGCACTCAAAATCTTACTGCATGAGGCCATTCTCTTGTGTTAAATGCGGGGGAGCACATGACACAAAAGCCTGTAAAAAAACACGCGACACACCTGCAACATGTGCCTTATGCAAAGGCAACCATCCAGCTAACTATAAAGAGTGTGCTATATATATAAAGACCTAATAAACTCGAAAAACAAGAATATAACAAATAGCATTCATAGACCTAGAACTAATACTTCAAATAACCCTAATGTCCAAACACAGCAACCACACACAACATATACTCATGCAGCAATAGCAAATAACCCAAACATTCCACCAAATACTCTCCCTCAAGCGAACAATAATTCAGACCTGTCGAACAAAGTAACAGAATTTTTCTCAACAAATTTAAAAATATGTTTGCACAATAAATAAATCAAAATAGCATGAATTAAGCAAGCTCACAACCGTGATAAATAGAACATCTTAATGGCTAACTCACTAAGAATAGCCGAGTGGAATGTAAGTAGTTTAACAAACCATGTGCAAGAAATCACACTGTTTTTAAAACTAAATAAAATAGATATCCTACTCATCTCTGAGAATCACACAACCAAAAGGTCTTTCATTAAAATCCCGTATTACTCTGTTTACTACACTAACCATCCGGATGGAACAGCCCATACTGGCTCAGCTATAACAATTCGAACAGCTATAAAACACTATGAATTTCCACAATATATTACCAACAAAATTTAGAGCACAATTATAAAAGTGATGTGCTCACTAGTCCATTAACAATAGCTTCAATCTACAGCCTGCCACGCCACTCCGTCAATCTTGAGGAATACAGTGAGTTCTTTGGACAAGTTGGATCTCATTTCCTAGTAGCAGGCGACTGGAATGCCAAATACACAACCTGGGGAGCAAGACTCATAACCCCAAAAGGCAGAACTCTACTAAAAATAATTCAAAAAAAAAAAAAAAAAATACTTATCAACGGTACCCCCACATACTGGCCTACCGATAACAATAAAATTCCTAACTTACTAGACTTCGCCATAATTAAAGGTTTATCTGAAATATACAGCAACATCACCCCTAGTTTCAATTTACACTCGGATCACAGCCCTATCAAAATAACCTTAAGTACTAGTATAATTTGGAAAACACTTGCACCAAAGCTCTGCTCCAGAAACACAAATTGGAATCAGTTTCATGATAAAATCAATAAAAATATATCTCTAGACATACGGCTCAAAGACAAAAATGACATTGAAGAAGCTGTAAAATACCTAATAGAACAAATTCAAAGCGCCGCTTGGGAAGCTACTCCTGTAAATGAAAAAATAATTAAAGGAAGATGCAGTATACCTTACCACATTAGAACACTAGTGGAAGAGAGAAGAAGAGCCCGTCGTAAATGGCAAACAACAAGAAATCCATTAGATAAAACAAATCTAAACAGACTCACACGAAACTTCTCTGTGCTATCCAAACTGCCAAAAACAACTCGTTTGAAACATATTTTACCAACCTATCTCTTGACGACCACTCCCTTTGAAAAGCCACACAAAAATTCAAGAAACCAACAGTAGCCAAATCTCCAATTAAAAAAATCGACGGAACTTGGGCTCGGTCTGGTCCAGAAAAATCCAATAGATTCGCAGTACATTTATCAACTGTTTTCTTCTAACGATATCAATGACGATGAAATTAGAGTCTTCCTTAATGCCCCCTGTCAGTTGTCACTACCACTGAAATACTTCTCACCGAGTGAAGTCCGCAATGAAATCAGACTTCTCAACCCACACAAATCTCCCGGATTTGACCTTAAAGTTAAAAATATCAGCTGGTTAATCAACAGAAGATCGAAACTTTCATTAGAAAACAAACTATAAAGCAATACTCAAACCAGTCTGGACATACGGAATCGAGCTGGGGGGCTGCAGCAAACCATCTAACACTAAAATACTACAGAAGTTCCAGTCTAAGACTATCGGAATATTAGCTAACGCCAAATGGTACGTTTCCGACAAAACCCTTCATGCAAACCTCAACATTCCATTCATAGATGATGTGATTACCCACCACTCCAAAAAATATATGAATTGCAGTGAAAACCTCATAGTGGAACTCTTTAACCCTCCACTCATCGATAGATGCTCAAAAATACTTTGGCCAGAAGACCTAGCTACTAGGTGAATTTCAGAGAGTCATCAGTGGACGACACCTGCCTCAAGCCACCCACTTCCATCAAATTTACTTATTACTTTATTGAAGCAGATTGTAAATTAGCATTGAATAAAATAATAAATAAAAAGTTGTGTTTAGAACAAACATTTTTTATAATTCATTTGTTGTTCTGTTTTCAATTTGTTTCTAACTCTTTTTCATTTGTGTGTAGTTTTCAAATAATTCAAATGTTCTTGTCATTAAATGTTTTTTTCTTTTATTAAAAAAATTATTGTTTTGGTTTACATTAAAACTATTTATTATGAGTGATATTTGCTCTATGGTTACTATGATTTAAAAATAATATAATAAAATCTGTATGTTAAAAATAAAAAACAGCTTTTTACTAAAGATCCATTGAATTTAGGTATAGGGAAATGTTATATGGAATAAAGGATAATTTAAATGTCTATCAATTTATGTTATTAAATACAGGGTGTGTCATTTAAAATAGGAATATTATTCAACTCCATATGTAAGTCGAAGTCAATTAGACTAAATGAGCACCCTGTATGATGTAATGGAAAAATTTGCCGCGACATACTAGGTTATGTTGTTCAAGCTTACAAATTAAGAATCCTTTAAATGTTTCAAAAAAGAAAAGAGATGGGTATATGAAACATTACAGAAACTTTACTTTATTTTTTCCGGGGAATCAAAAGGCACTATCAAATATAGGGTGTTCCCTTTAAAAAAAACATACCTTTAATGTAAATTCCTATTTTTGGGTCACCCTGTATAATCAAAATTATTTTTAATTTGTAGTGTTAATGGCTCTGGTATATCCCTATTAAGAAAAAAAATTCAAATTTTAAGACGTTTGCCCTACAGAGACCAACCCTGAATATAATTGTGAGATTTAAAAGACTATTTTTTTTATTTTCTTCATCTACAAAATGTTATATTCTTTTTTCCAGCTTCAACGATCTGCTCTCCAGATATTTTGTCCAACAAAATCTGCGTGGAATTAGACCTAGTCGCATCTAGCCTGCAGCGTCAACCGACACGTATCTCCAAAATGCCTACAGTGCCAATCAGTCCCGACGAAGCCATAGCGAAAATTTTGGACTATTCTTCGGACCCACCAGTCGCTGATTCACAATACCGCGAACGAACTCAGCCAGACGGTCACGACGAGAATTTAATGTGCGAAAAAACGCTGAGTACGGTCGAAGAAGTGAGCGAGACGGAAATAGATTCGCCTGAAGTGAGTGAAAAACCATCTCCTGTTAATAAGGAGGTGAAAGTTAGTGCGTCCCCGACAGTAAAGGTGCAAGTGTCTTCGACCAGTGATAAGTGCGATAAGTTGGACGGAATGTTAGACAGTATAACCCAAGATTTGGAGTATTTGCTAAATAACAGTCAAGAAGTGCCTGTATCGACTTTAAAGAGGATTCCGAAGAGTCCGATTAGTGTCAGACATGCTGTGAGTAAAGAGGTTTTTAAGGATGACAAAGACGGTTTAATCGAGAGTGTCACTATTAGAAGTAAATGTTAATTATTTGGAGTGTTAAAAATTACGAAAATTTTTGTAAATATGAGGAATTGAGTCAAAAAGACTTTTGTGATTAAAAATCACCAGGCTGTTTGTGTAAATATTCAGTTTTAATAATGATATTTATATTACAAATATTTTGGAGTAGCTTCATTATAGGTATCAAACTGAAATTGTTGGTGGTTTTGTTGGATTTTGGCATAATTTTGAGCTTCTTTTTATTATTAGTAATATTAGAATGAAAATTATAAACTAATTTTGTTTGTCATTTCTAATTATCGCGTAAATTACTCTTAAATATTTTATATACAGTGTGGTGATAAAGTAAGGATAAAATTTATAATTGCATTATTTAATGTTTTCAAACAAAACGCACGGACAGATCAATTTTGATATTTAATTAGCCAACTTAGGCCATAAAATTTTTACTTATGACGTTATGTATTTTTGAACAATGACGTCGAGAACCCTAATTATTTTTGCTGTTTTTAATAGATGTTCCAATGGTGTAAAAAAATTGGTACCTTAAAAAACATTTTTTTTGAAAAATAATAACTTTATTGAAATAAAATCCTAATAACAGCCCAAAAACAAACAAAATTTAGCGCAAATGTTCAAATTACTCTTCTTTAACCATTTGGCATTAACCAATATGAGTATAAACACTTTTTTTGCAAATTATCATTATCACGTCTGTACCCAGATAACAATTATACATTCTTAGCATATTCTTAGTATATACTTTTTAAGAATACGCATATGCTGAGAATATACTGTATTTGCATTTGGTACATTCTCAGAATATGCTTGGCATATGCTACATGACGTTGTTTATACGTGCTATGCAGATACTGAGAATGTACTTCAAGTATGTGTATAGTATGCAACAGGTATCTACTTTAATTTGATAGTACGTTCTAAGTATATGCTAAGTATTTAAATATAGCATATGCTAGGCATATACTAGACACCTTAATATAGGATGTTTAATTATTATTAAACATTAAAGAATAAGTGTATATAATGCGTATTTATTTCAAAGAATTCATACTTATTTTTATTACAAATACTATCTTTGGCCTTAACCAATCAATATTTTATTGTATCAATGGCTTGAGTTTCATTTGCTTGATTCCATTGGATCTTCATTGAACCTAAAAAATAAAAAAAAATTAACAAACTTGGTACATATACAAATTAAGTGTACATAGCTAATGGAATATTTCAAATATTTTTGTATAACATAAAATATTAAAAATTGTACATGGCATTCCACTAACAAAAACAAGAGTTACATAAATGAATATGATGTTTACTCAAAGTTTAAATATATTTTTGTTAATTACTTACCACCATTTTGTAGTTTTCGTCCTCCTTTAGCTAACTTTTCTAGTTCTTCCAGGTCAATATCTGGCCTTACAGGATTTTTTTCATAGAAAGTGTGTATGTAATTCTGGTAACACTGTATTTTAGTTTCAATCTACCATTATAGTATTAACTATATTAATAAATTCACACTGGCAATTAATATTTGGGATATCCTGTATTCTAACGTCACTTATAGGTCCTAAAAACTATAAATATAGTAAAATTTGTTTATTTTCATATAGAACATCATCTGAATTAGGGCGTGGTTTAAAGCCCACTTGTACTGAAGCTCTAGGCTTATTGTACCCCTCACAGTTTCTATCCCATCAGATTGATTTTCTTGATGAATTCAAGAATATGTCTGATGGGCGCTTTCGCGATTTCTTCAGGTTCCGGATATTGTACCCCGAAGTACCATTCCCGTTCCCATTTAAGGTTCCGGCAGTGGCATAGTATGTGAATAGGAGTTTCGTCCTCCTCTTCACGTATTCTGCATAGGGAGTCATCAGATATCCCTAAGAGATTTAGGAGTCTTCTAAGGCCGCAGTGTCCCGTAAGGAGTCCTATTACGGCCTTGAGTTCGCTTCTGCTAAGGTTTAGCAGTTGATGTTGTCTGCTCGTGGATGGCCCCTCTATGAATCTTTTGGACTGTCTAAGTCCAGGAAGTTCTATCCAGAGCCTATGGTGTTCTCTTTTTATTTGTTCCTTTAACACCCATTTAACATGTTGGTATGAGGTCTGCTTTCTCGTTTCCAAACACTCCCGCATGTCCTGGCACCCATTCAAGGGTAACCTTGTTATGTTCTGCCAGAGCCTGGAGGGATTGTTGGCAATCAAATATTGATTTAGATTGTACTTCTACCCTTTTTAGTGCTTTAAGGGCTGCCTGACTGTCTGTCATGATAACGATTCTCTTATCTCTAAGAGAGTCATTTAGCATGACTTTGGCGCAGGCATTTATTGCTGTTACTTCAGCCTGGAAGACTGTTGTCAGTGACCCCAGGTTCAAACTAATTGTCCTCCCTGAGTTCACATGGTAGATCCCAGCTCCTGTGCTGTTTTTCATTTTCGAACCGTCTGTATACCAGATTGATTAGTTTTGTTTTTCCTTTTTTTCCCGGCTTTTGACCCTTTCTGGTATTTAAATATCAAAAAGTTTCCTGAAGTCGTGAGTAATGGGCGTTCTATCCGATGGCATTCTTAGTACCGGATTTTGTTTTAATTTCTCTATCATTGTGTGGTGTCCTTTTCTCGAAAGTTCCCATCCAAATCCATTAGTAAACCGCCGCCATAGCCTCCTTCTCTACCACAAGGTGTAGTGGAGGAAGACCTAGCAGTAGCTCCATTGCTGCTGTGGGCGTAGTTCTAAATGCCCCTGTTATTATTAGGCAGGCTAGTCTTTGTACCTTGTCTAATTTTCTGTTAGCTGTTATGCTTTTAGTCTTGTGCCACCATATGACTGATGAGTAAGTTATGACCGGTACTACATCCATAGTGTAAAGCCAGTGCATCATACTTGGTTTAAGCCCCCATGCGTTCCCTACCATCCGTCTACAGGCCCATAGTATTCTTACAGCTTTTTTTGTTGTTTTTTCTATATGGCTACAGAAGCTAAGCTTGTCATCGAGAGTGATTCCAAGATATTTAACCTCCTTTGCCATTTTTAGATGTTGTCCCCACATATAAAGCTCCTTCATTCCTTGAAGGTTCCTTTTTCTTGTGAATGCAACAATAGAGGTTTTTGTCGGGTTTGTGGACAGTCCCTCTTTTAGGCACCATCTTTCGACGATATTTAGTGCCCGCTGCATCCTTTCGGATACAACAGTCCCAAATTTACCGTTTACTACGATGCTTATGTCGTCTGCAAATGCTTGCGTGTATAAGTTTTCTCTCTATAACTCCAATAAGAGGTCATCAACCACCAAGGTCCACATAAGAGGAGATAGCACTCCTCCCTGCGGGCATCCCTTGTTAACTGAGACCTCTCTTGTTGTGTTAAGGAGATTACTGGTAATGATCCTATGATTAAGCATGAACTCTACCCACTTCGTAATGCAGTGGGCTACTCCACGCCTTTGCATAAATCCCATTATTGAATTGTATGAAGCCGAGTCAAAGGCTCCTTCTATATCTAGGAATACTTCTAGTGCTATTTCTTTGCTTTCTAATGCTTGTTCAGCCCGTTGAGTTAGCCTATGTATAGCTGCATCGCAAGACTTTCCAGATTGGTAGGCAAACTGGTATATACAGAACATACGATGCAATTAATTTTTATTAATTGACTTACCTCTTACAAACGAGATCAAAAAAATTTGTAGGAATTGTAGGTTATGATATTCTTCTTCTTTTCTTCTATTTTAGTTTGAGAATGTTTTTTGGCCTAAACATTCAACATTAGTGCGTTTGGTAGCGAATTATTAAATCGGCATCTGGGAAAAATTCATATAGATATGTATATAAACTTGTTTTTACATGTATTTGGTGTTAATTTTTACCTGCAAGCATTTAGAACATTCTCAGAATATGAGGTACATGCTAGGTATATGACTTTTAGTATCTTCTAAGAATGTCCTGTTATAGGACGTGCTAAGTTTATACTTTTTGGAATATACTTTTAAGGCACGTACTCAGTATATACTTTCTAGAATATACTTTCAAAGTATATTCTAGGTATGTTCTAAGAATATTCTAAAAGGATATACTAAAAAGAACTTAAACAGAACGTTCTTGGTATATTCATAGAACATTGATGTTATGTGTCTACACTTTTGACCGATTTACAAAGATTCGTAAATTTGGCTTCACATTAGTTAAGTGTAAAAGGCGCATTTAACAAGTTTTTTAAAAGCAAATTCTCTTTGTCTTTAACAAAAATGCCACGTTTAACTGAATGGGAAAGAAAAAAAAATTAATAAGGGTTGGATAAATTAAGAACACATCAGAAAACATGTGAATTATTCAACTAAGAACACCCTGATAGACCGCCTACAGTAAATAAATTGATTACCAAATTTACCGAAACGGAATCCGTCCATGATTTGTCTCCGCAAGGTCGGCCTCCAGTAAGCGATGAAACCAGATTAAATGTTTTAGTCGAAGCTGAAGAAAATCCTCATCATTCTGCAAGGCAGCTAGCCCTAAATAATAATGTGGACCACTCTTTTGTCGTGAGATTGTTCAAGAAAGAGAACTATCCTTACAAGGTTCAATTGATTTACGAATTAAACGAGGATGATCCAGACCGCCGCCTACAGTTTTGCGAAGAACTAATGGAGACCCCAATTTTTTAAATATTATCCTCTTTTCTGGCGAAGCCACTTTTTGCCTGAATGGTACATTGCATCGTCATAATTGCAGGTATTGTTCAAGAGAAAATTCTAACTGGACTCAAGACTCTGATAGTCAACGCCAAATGTTTGGATTGGAATAATCGGACGGCGTTTAATAGGGGCTTACTTTATTGAAGGAAACCTTACAGCATCACGTTATTGGGCCTTTTTGCGGTTTGATTTAGTTCCAGTTCTGTCAGTTATATTTCCAAATGATCACAAAGCGAATGTATCCCATCAGAATATTTGATTTCAACAAGATGGGACACCTCCTCTCTTTGGAATAACCGTCCATCAATATCTTGACACCACAGTTCCAGGAAGGCGGATAATAGAACGTCGAGAAGCAATTGAGTGGCCACCGCGATCCCCAACCCTGACTCCCTTAGATTTTTTCTGTGGGGTTATTTAAAATTAAAGGTGTATTTTAATAGGCCTAATAATTTAGATGAGCTACGGCAAAGAATTCGCGATGAAGTGGATCACATTACATTTGAAGTAGTTGAGCGAAGTGTACAAAGTGTTTACACTCGTATTGGTCAGTGCCAAATGGTTGAAGGAGAGCAATTTCAACATTTACACTTTTTGGGGTGATAGGATTTTCTTTCATTAAAGTTAAATTTTGATTTCTTGCGAATAGTTATTTTTTCAAAAAAAATTGTTATTTAAGGTACCAATTTTTTAACACCATCATTTAAGTAATTGGACCATCTATTAAAAAGAGCGAAACAAAATTAGGGTTGTCATTAAAAAAACCAATGATGACGTCATTGTGCGAAGGTAGATAGTTCACCGTTAAATGGCATAAAGAATTAGAAATTTTGTTGTTTCTGCTGCCCCCTAAATGTGTTAGCAGCATGCGATTATTACTTGGATCTTATATAGCGTCAGGTGAT